TAGGGGTTGAATCTGCATATATACATATACATATAAGGTATAGCGTAAACGCCGCAAACCCGAAGTTGAAAAAAAATACAAAACAAAATTTCAAACTGACAATGTTATTGGCAAGCCTTATAAAGACTTTATTTTTAGAATTTAAACAAGAATATTGTGTCGATATTTATGAGCAGAGCACGAATGCGTCAAATGAGTGCACAATATGATCGATTTTTCTAAAAGTACCATATAATTAATTCTAACTCCTTTGTGTGGCATATGCTAATATGTATAGTTGACAACAGCAGGCGTCGAGGCATTTGCTTTCCACTCGACTTGGCATCCAACAGTGGTGTCATATACCCCTTGAAAATTTTTTTTTAAATATAACGCAGCAAGCAACATCAAAATGCGCTTCAAGTGACACTGCTGCTGCACACTCCACTTGACTTACTATGCAATATGATGGCTGCGAAATATGAATTTTTTCAACAGGCGTGTCGATTCCTGACAATGCCAGCTGCGGGCAATGCCAGCTGCGGGCTATTTGACAAGCTCAGTTAAATGAAACTACACTCGCTTGCAAAAAAAAATGCATTCGCGTTAGCAACTACACACATATGTATATGGTTTTATAAGTATATTACACACATAAAGTTGGAACAGGAATGATGAAGGCAAGCAATGTCCGAGCTGATGAAATATGTATCGCGAAAAAAAGCATAATTTTTAAAGAAAAAAGTATAATGAAACTCGAATTGGCAGTCCATTAAACGAAAATTTCACTTTTATGAGCAAACAAACACAACAGTACAAATTTATTGTTGGAAAATGGTGAACAACTACTTGGTATTGTTTGACGGTGTGTCGCCGTCAATATTGCTATTTACACAATAATGTGTTAAAATTACATAAAAATTTCAAACGCACGAAAATCCCTTCATGCCATCAGTAACGAGACACTTGTGAGCAGTAACATTGCATTTCGCCATAAATAGCGGTAAAGTGATCAACCGAAAATACTCGTACTTGTGATAAATATTATGAAATATTTTTCATTTTGAAAGAAAATATTTAATACAGCCACAAAAATGATGGCGACTGATGTTAGGTTTGCTGTCTGTTGTCAAGGCTGATTTATTTACTTATGCACTCAGTAGTTATCTTCCTTACTTCGTAATTGCAGGTGCGAACTAAAAGTTAAAACCAATTGCAGTGTACTGGCAGCCTGTCTGAGTAAACAAATACGTATATTTTTATACTCTCGCAACCTGTTGCTACAGAGTATAATAGTTTTGTTCACCTAACGGTTGTTTGTATCACCTAAAATTAATCGAGTTAGATATAGGGTTATATATATATAAATGATCAGGATGAAGAGACGAGTTGAAATCCGGGTGACTGTCTGTCCGTCCGTCCGTCTGTCCGTCCGTCCGTGCAAGCTCTAACTTGAGTAAAAATTGAGATATCTTTATGAAACTTGGTAGACATGTTTCATGGTACCGTGAGACGGTTGGTATTGCAGATGGGCGTAATCGGACCACTGCCACGCCCACAAAACGCCATTAATCAAAAACAAATAACTTGCCATAACTAAGCTCCGCAATAAGATACAAGACTGTTATTTGGTACACAGGATCACATTACGGAGGGGCATCTGCAGTTAAAACTTTTTTTTTAAAAGTGGGCGTGGTCCCGCCTCTAATAGGTTTAATGTGCATATCTCCTAAACCGCTAATGCTATAATAACAAAATTCACTGGAAGCAAATGTTTTTAGCACTTCTATTGACGGTGTGAAAATAGTTGAAATCGGGTGGCAACTCCGCCCACTCCCCATATAACGGTACTGTTAAAAACTACTAAAAGCGCGATAAATCAAGCACTAAACACGCCAGAGACATTAAATTTTATCTCTGAGATGGTATAAGATGACTTTATAGGAACAGCGTTCAAAATTAGACAGTGGGCGTGGCACAGCCCACTTTTAGGTGAAAACCCATATCTTGAGATCTGCTTAACCGATTTCAACCAAATTCGGTGCGTAACGTTCTTTTCATGTTTCTATGTCATAGTGCGAAAATGGGCGAAATCGGACTACAACCACGCTTACTTCCCATGTAACACCATTTTCAATTCCATCTGATTCTTTCGCTTTCCACTATGCAAATCAGGTAACAATGATTATATCGAGGTAAAACTTTGCGTGAATAATGCAATTAAAGTATGCCACCTTGCGGCCAAAAATTGTCTAAATCGAACCAAAACTGTTCAAACCCCTAAGTACTAACTATGTGGACCCCAGTGCCTATAGTTGACCTTCTACCGAAAATATCAGTCAATCCACAAAGAAATCTCAAACGAGTATACCATTTGACTTTGCGAGAGTATAAAATGTTCGGTTACTTAGGCCTTCCTTACTTGTTATTGTATATACTCGTGTATGTATACATATAATTTAAAGGAGGAAGACTTTAACTCGAGCTGCATTCAAAGCATTATTTTGAGTAGCGTTTGTTTGTGTATAGACATGAAGCATGTGCACAACATGTTTATAAACAATAAACAAAATGTATTTATAAACAATGAAACCTGTAAAATGAGTTGAAGTATAAATAATGTCGGAGTAAAGAGAATATATGAAAATAAATGTATAATGTATGTAGATGGAATAATACTTAAATTAATTTTTTAGAGATTACTTTTTGTGCATTTTTATTATTCAAAAACAAAAAAAAAATTAGTCGCCTCTTCTGTGGCGTCATATAAGCTTTAAGATTCAGAATAAGAGACGCAAAAAATATAAAAAGACTTTGTCATCGTCTTGCAAAATATTTGGTATACACAATTTATTTTGCTATGAAACTTAGCAAATGCAGCAAGTTGGTAAACAAACAAAAATGCATAACAAGTAGAGCAAAACAGAAATGGACAAAGGTAAATATAAATAACGTAGAAAATAGATTGTACTACGAAATCAAACATAAAAACGTATATTCATGGAAGGTAAACAAATATTATCAAATCAAAAGAAACATTTATAATTTCAAAATAACCTTCAAAAATAATTTAAATACACACGAGACATAGCAGTGCACTGTTAAGCGACTCATGCACAAGCTCGTGACCAAGTTTGTTAACATTTTGAAGTAGTGATAACGAAGTTTCAAATCGCGTGTAATGTGGGTCACTCTTATGACATATTACAACGTTACAGCAGTGAGTACTACTCATAAATCTGCTTATCATATGTATGTATATAAGTACATAGTCGGTGTGATGAAAAGTCGCTATCAAAAATATAGAAGCATATAAAACTATAAAAAATCGACCTAACCACACTTTTTCGCTTAACGAATGTAAAAAGCTTAAAACTACATCTAACAAAATAAAAAGTTCTATGAACAAACTTAAGGGTGTGTACTTATGTACATGTTACATACATATGTAGAAAGAACACTTTTGTACATACGTAAGTGTACTACTTAAAAAACATACATAAAATTGTCTGTATTTAGAGATTGGCTGACGCAATTCAAATACGAAACTTGAATAAACTTTTTTCTATAGTTTTGTATATTTTAGATTTTATGGTTTGGCTGTGTGTGTGTGTGCATAAGTAGCGCACGCGAATATACATAATATACTGAAATAAATATAAACAAATACAAAGAAAACCAAATTTCTATACAACATTAAAAAAATGTACACAGTTTATAAATGTATATGACGCTGAAAACAGCAACGGCAGAAGCGGAAGGCAACTGAAACAGCTGGTAAGAAACTGCTTGAAAAGTAAATCAAACAAAGAAACTCAGAGGTGGAACAAAATGGCAAACAGACTGTATATTGGTAATGTTGGTGCGAAACATGATGAACAATGAGATTAACAGCAGTTGCTTTTTGCAGTGGTAGTGGTGATTTTTCGTGAAACAAGTGGGAGTGAAATTTGAAAAAGAAGTAGAAAATTGTAATCTTTTAGTAACCTGCAGAAATTAAGTTTTTTTTTTTTTGCTTTTAAAAATTAATTCATATTTTATAACTTTTTGAAAATGTTTGCTTTTGACGACAATTCAAAGTCAGTCAACAAACTGTTACTACAAAATAATTTGCAAAATTTTGAAGCATACGAAATGTCACCTTGAATCAGATTTTCTTGCTTAAAGTCAAAGCTTATAGAAAAGTGAGTTCGTTTCGCGAAATTTATCAGCCAATTATGTAAAAACTTTTCACAAATAGCAATCCAGTATTCTAGCTATCAAAAATTCATATACAGACTGCCTCAAAAGCTGCGAAACTTATGGGCCAAGGCTAAATAGGAATTATTTAGCAAAAAAAATGGGGCACATACTCGTATGTTCTGCAAACTTTTATAAGATATAAAATAATTTTTATTTGCAACTAAACAAATACATTTCTAACTTCTTTGCGTTTTATATGTGTTGTTATTGAAACTCAGCTGTGAACGCACTGACAGCTGGAACAAATACAATACCAATGCATGCAAATGCACACCTACAACACACTGTTACAATATTAGGGCGCGCACTGCGCTACCACCTCACCTACAAATGCCAGTATACAAAACTGTATTCTGTAGAAACTTTTGCTGGAGCTTCTTCATTTACTATTTTATTTATTTAATTGATATTTTTGGAAGTTTATTTATTAAGTACAGAGTTAGAGCTTTTCTTTATTGCTAATTAAAACTAATTTTAATCGGAGCGAGTAAATTACCTATATACATATCTACATATGTAAGTAGATGTGTCAAATACACAGATACACAAATAGATATGCCGTTAAAAGTTAAAATTTGCTATGCAAATTTTTCAAAATGTAGAGAAGTTTCTTGAAGAAATATAGAGGAAATACAGCTACACAAGTTCAAAAAGATTGGCGAATTTGTAGACAACATTTTTGAGCTTTGCACTTTTAACAAAATCGTATGTATAAATAGACGTATGTATGTATATAGTAATATTAGCAAATAAAGTATAGTTCACTGAAGTATGCTTACATTTTGACAGCCATTTTGGTTTATGTTGCGCAGGAATGTTGTATCAGTTAAGATTTTATTTAAATGTGTAGAAAAAATTTCGCTATTGCACTAAAAAAAACTTGTTGGTACTTATTGTAACGTTGTTTGTGTTACTTAACATTTAATTTACGTTTGTTATTAGTCTAAGAGCTCTCTGTTTTTTTTCTACCACTAATTTGTACTTTTACAAAGTTATCACAAAAATTTCAACTTTCGCAAAAAAATACGAGTGACGAAATGCAATTGTTTTAAAAGAAAAATATATATTTTCTTGGTGTTTTACTTTTGCGGAATTTAGTTTTCCCTCACCGTCCAGTTCTTTCAATATGGTTGGTGAAACAAAGAATTTTTTATTTTCTTGCTTCACGAAGACATCTTGGTTGTGTTTTATTACTGTCGTTTTACAACAACTTATTTTCTTACACAATAAAGTTTTTTTTGGAGTTATCGATTTTTCATGATAACTTGCTCATATTGCAAATGAATGTTCAAAATTACAAAGCCATTTTCATTGTTTACAAAGCTTTATATAGTATGTTGCTTAATACGGCTTTAAAACATTTTAAAATGTTTAAAATCATTAATTTTTATTTAGTTATTTTATTTTGTTAAATGCTTAGACACTTTGCTACAGTTTGATTTCACGTTACACATAATACATAAACTACAGGCAGATTACCAAAAACTGTTGGTACTTTATTCAATTGTTGCCAAACATAAACTAAATCAGCTTGAGCCAGAGCCTACCCTGTCACATAGTTGCAGCCAGTCACAAATTGATTTCGCACCGAACGAACCGAAAACGAAATCATCTGGCCATGGGCTATACACAAACAAAGGCCATTCGGGTGCGTAGAAACCAGTGCTCGTATTTGTGCTGCCATAAAGCGCGAATTAATTCACAAAGAGTAAATAATGTTGACAAAATTTTGTTTGTTCTCAAACTTTTAGATGATTTCAAAAGTTATTCTAAAGTCATCGAAAGCTCAGTTCCAGTCTACTTTAATTTGCGCCTAAATTATGTTTAATGAAAGGTTATCTATAGCCGTATTGGTAAGATTAAAAACTTGGAAATTACTGGTAATTACCGATTTGTTAAGTTTACTTGAAAATAAGAGTGAAGTTAGATAATTTTCAACAAGCTGAAAGTTAAGGAATATTTTCGAAATATGATTAAAAATAACAGTACTAAGATCCTCAGCGTTCAGATACGTGAAAAAAAGTACTCGAGGTCACAGGTCAAAAACATTTTGCTATTTTGCGTCAAAATGTTACTTTGGACAAAAATTGTAGATCAAAAAAGTATCTTTAAAAATGTCTGAATAATTTTTTCCTAAAAGCCACCATATCCGAGATATAAAGATTCTAGAAGTTGTAAAAAATGTACCGCTAAGCACACTACATCATAGCTAACGTAAAATCGCATATAACAACTTTATGTAACCTTGAATGTCTATATTGACCAGATTAAGTGGTTGGGACCAGATCGATGCCTTGCATTAACGCAGATTTGAGACCGCTCCGAAGTTATAAATTATTTAATTAAGCTATTAGATGTGGCAACACTGAGAAGTATACATCTATAGAAACTTTTTGGTATACTATGCCGAGGTTTCACGACGCAAAGTGAAATCCATTGTACAAACATATGAGTAAACAATACATATACATTTATATGTATTCATTCTACTGTGTGTAGGCAAGCTACAAAAACAACTGTACATAGCCAGAATTGACTGACGGTGGACAGGCAACGAAAATAACACACACACACAATGATATTTTGAATTGTTTCATCCATCCCCGTACTAACCATCTACAATACAATTTTTATCGGTGTGTATTTTAGCTCAGTGTTTGTATTCGCCTACTCCGCGTATCTGCGCTGGTATTTGTTAAGGTGAAATGGGTGTGGAACGAACCGGAACGGTACAAAATAAACATGGCTGCCCTTTTCTCATGAGATCGCGTTTACATGGGGACTCTTTTGTCGCTCATCATCGACAAATTCACTCACGAGCGAAAAAGAGTCTAAAAACTCGAGACACTTAGAGCGTATTGTATTATATTGTGTCACATTTTGCTGGCAAGGAATTACAATGCATGTGATAGACATATATATATTCATTTGAAATCAAGCGCTGTTGCAACCATGAAAAGAATTTCAAAATGAAAAGAAATGCTGAAAAGGGTAGCAGCGAGCTGTTACGAACAAGAACCCTAGCACGAACGGCACAGCCCCTACGTCTTTCCTCGTACTTCTCTCGCCTACAAAAAACCGGTTTGGGCGACAAAAGAGTTCGTGTGTGAACTGGCACTTACTTGTTTATTATGCCAATGTTCAGGCTTCCCAAACAACGGAATGTAATGACAATGGAACATACTAAAGTCGTACTAAATTGATTGTTGATAAGCAAGTTGGTCTCAATGTACTGAACAAAAATTAAATATGTGTTGCATGTACACATAATATAAATATAAATATGTATGTTGAAATATTGAATTATATCATGTAAATAAAAATAAATATATAAACTTTCAATATACATATGTATGCATGTACACATATGTATGTACAAATATATATTAAATGATTTTAACATTTCAATATTCATCTACACTCTCATACTAGATTTCTTCCCTAAATATGCAAATTTACTTTATATGTCAACATCCACAAGCTTCAGGAAAAAGATTGTCATGTACATATGTATGTGTATTCAGGTAAATACTGGTTAGAAATAACCTTTTTAAGCAATATTTAGTGTTTAAAAAATTTATTTACATAAGTAAATCTTGAAAATAAACAAAATGAAGAATTTTGATTAGCATTTTCATAATTTTTATGTGAAGCAAACCGAAAAAAATAAGCTCTGACCGACAAGAAATAAGTATAATATATTAAAACGGAACAACTACGGAACACTATTCAATTAGAATTCTTTTCTGATGCTAGCATAATCAGCTTATCTGATGCGGTTAAGTATGAAGAATATTCGATATACAAAAATAAATAGTTCGCAAATCAAGTCAAAACTGGTTTCAGAAATTTCGTAAACATTAGCTACAAATGTAGATACATATATATTAATTCATACATGTAAGTATATAATATGTGTGCATATCGTGCGACAATTGAAACGATAAAAAGGTTGATCTGTTTGAAGGAGGAATCACAGCAAGAAAACAAGAGCAAGTATTATCTCAATTGGCATCAGAGTCTCTATATAACTATTGCATTAAGAGACATATCGGAAGTTTATCTGCATACATACATACATAAGTATGTAAGTATGTATTTATTTATTTGTTCATTGGTTAACATTGTTTGGTTGACAACTTGAAATACCTTTAGTTAATTTGATTAATTGTATCGGTCAACCAATTGTGTTGTAAAAATAAGGGGGTAATATACATACATAAGTGGAAATTGAACTATATTTCAAGAAGGTTAATTGAAATTTGAATACCGCAGCATCTGTAACATATGTATGTATGTGCATAGATGCTGGTATTGTAAACATCGGTCTATATAATAAAAAAAAACAACAATATTTTAGAATTATCAGAGTTATAACTAAGTACGTATATGTACATATATAAAATGTAAACAAACTATAGTTGATACAGGGTGAACATTGTAAAATATTATGCTCATTTATGCGTAATGCCTAGTTTTCACTTGCTAATATTTGACGTCAAATGCTGTCAAACTGTTGAAAAAGGGGTGGTCATTTGGTGTCTTTCAGTCTTTTTCAGTTTCAAATATGGAAAATGTCCCAGCTTCAGAATTTGTGTGAAGCACCAGCGGAGCAAGAAGACGGGTGAAAAAATGAAAGAGAAGTCGACAATGGAAGAAACGGAGCGGATTATTCAAGAAGTTGAATTGAAGTTGATCAAACTGCACGTCTTATGCACTATATGGCAGTTTGTAGTTTTTTCCCCAATAGAAAAACACACATCAGGCTCGAGAAGTTATCGCTTGTGGCTATAATGTAGTGTTACCGCCAGTCTTTCTGAGAAACCAGTTTGAATCGAAGTGTGGTGTAAAATCCACAGGTGGAACGATTCTTAAGCATGGTCCAATTCACCACAATCGTTACAATACATAGCGTCGCAGTTGCTATCGCAATTTTTCTATTTATAGTCGTCATCTATAGCCAACCAAAAATTAACGAGTTTTTGAAATGCGCTGCTTTATCGACATTTGGTCAGTTTTTTATTGCGATGAAATCGCATTTGACATGATCAAGCATAAGCGTAAACTTTTATGTGCTTTACACCATGAACTCAACTTCCTTGAAGACTAAAAATTGGAGTACTTTTTTAGTTTACATTTTTATTAGATATTGATTTATGCAATACACTTTTTATGTATAAAACACAATTATTTCACAGGTTAATGAAATTTAAAAAAAAAACGAGAAACATTGCTTTTGTTGTTATATTTTAGTCATAATTTAACACGTAAAGAATAGAAGTATGGAGAAAGCTAGTGAAATATTTTCTCTCATCAAATGTAATCTTATTTTGGTATATACTGTATTATTACACATTAAGAGGATATCCTAAAAAAACTCTTTAATTGTTTTTGCATCATCCATGAGACACGAAAAAGCCGAAAAACCTATAGTAATACTATACTTATTAGCGCCTGTTGCTATGTGCTCGACTCGCATTTCCGCACTCACTCGCTGGGTTGTCACGATCAACCACTACTTCATTCACGCACACTGCTACATAAAATACTGTGTAGACATAAAAACTGTAAATGACGTATTTTCATTTCTAATTCCTTATAGCATTACTATATACTTATAACATAAATTCCTATCTGAAGTGTAAAATATCTAGTACAACACACCCATGTCCTGCCATTACCCTTATGTTGCATTCCTTTCTAATCTTATTGGATTTCAATAAAAATTATTCGACATTAGGTTACATCGTGGGCACCTCGTAGTATGTTACTCATGCAAATATACAACCTACTCGCATATTGACGCCGTTTAATCCACATAATCTACGTTGATTATCAGTTAATATTCTTATGTATATAATTAAAGAATTACTTACCCGGATGCTTCTGCAAGTTGAGTCAGTTTTTGCTCTTTTTTATTTGTCCAGGACAGAAGAAAAATATTTCAACACGAATCGAACAAGAATTGTGACATGGAAATTTTTCGATTTTTCTTTCTTGACAATTGGCACTATACCGCCGGCCGTGCGAAGTTGGTTGCTGTGTGAAATGTCAAATTCTAGTAGAATATTCGGTTTCGAAAAAGTTAAAGGTAGAAGTATGTACTAAATACGACAGTGCCATCTATTTTAGAATTTTGTATTAACTTAATTAGTTATTTAAGCACTATTTATGTTCTGTAATATTTCAAAAACACATTTTTAAAACTTACCGGTGAAGGTGTATCGAAAGCAAATAACATATGCTCTTGGTTTAAAATTTAGAAAAGCGTCACTGTTAACTGGCGCTGTTGTAAGGTCCCAGAAAATATTTCAACTAATTTTATGAGGGGAATATCATAACTTTAGCAGAGAACATACAATTGTTGTTGTATGTTATCTGGTTTAGGTCATTTTTCTCAATGTCTAATTAAGCGCTTAATCAGAACTTTAACGGCAAAGTTTTTCGTGTTCACAGTGCAAATTTTGTAAACTGCTTTCGCCACGCGTTCACAATAATCGATCTATCTGTTTGTCAGCTAACCACAACTTTGTGGAAACGGTTCTGTTAGTTAAGGTCATTTATTGAATGGAAAAGTTAAGGAATAGTTGAGATTAATACTTTCTATGTAAAAATAAAAGAAGTTGGATTTTCATTGTGTCATATAAAAAACCTTTAATTCATCGCAGCAATAAAACCTTAATTCTAATGTTTTTTTATTTGCTTTTTTCATATTATATATGTTTGCTTGAATATTTCTCTTTTGTGTTCAACAATGTCAATATATAGATATATAGTCTATTCACAGATCAATGTGTAATACATATTTATTAAATTAAATAAAATTCTTTGATTTCTAACGCTGAGTAATTCATGCATTTTCAATGGATTATTACATCTTTTCACAAATGATTAAAATTAAAAATAATATAAAAAAACTTATATATTAAAATCTTACAGGCCTTAATGTTTTGAACTGTGGTGTGTGTCTATCATTCCTATGTTATGTAGAAACACTTATATTATCCATGTACTGATACATTATTGTTAGCGTTCATCTGTTTCTGTTGTGCTGCAGGTTGTTCTTTATTTGTATTGTTTATGGCAACAGAATTATTGATGTTAATATTCGTACCAGATTCTGGAATATCTGTTCGTGGTCTTCGGAAGAGTATTACATGAGGTTCAGGCGCGTGGATCATGTAGTGCACCCAACCTGGACTCTGCTGCACACCTAAATTTCGCCATTCAGTTTCACTCATTAAATGAGACTTTGGTACCAGCTTTGTTAAATCCGGCGGCAGAATAACGTGTCTAAATGAATATTATATTTACATCAATGCACTTCATTTTGGAAAAGTGAAACTCAACCAAACTAGCCACACCAAAGGGATTCAAACAAACCTGTATTCGTAAATGGCATCAAAGTACTTTTCCGAGTATTGTATTTGATCTGCAGGCATTTTATTTCTTAAATATCTCCAACTACGTCGACACACTGAAATATAGTGTAATTATTTTACACCTAAATGTATATTTCCAAATTGCAAATTGCGTCCTTTGTTTTTACGTAGAATATTTAGAAATATTCATTTGTCAATGCTTCTTCTTATACGAGAGATAGTCACGGAGATAAAAAACAGAGATGCTATAAAGTGTGCACATGTCACTTGAATAAATAACGATAACTGTGTTATACCATACCAATACCAGAGAATGTAGATTATATTATACATTCTCTGCCAATACTTTAAGATATGTATAATAGTAATTCATATATTTACCAAATTAAACGTAATAACAGAACAAAACATTACATAATTATGTTAAATTCAGTATTCAACCCAATATAAAGTTTAATATATAAACTTTTACTTACAACATAATATGACGCTCACATAAGTCTTAACTTTTATTCCAATTCTTACAGATATTTTACCTGTAACGACGAAATGGTAATGAGTTTTGAAAATGTTTAGAAATACATTTGGACACTTAATGGGTATGCTGAAAACAATTAATGTGTCTCGTTCTCTGTCTGTGATTAATTCCTTGATGTTCAATGTAAAAATGAAAATTGAGAAACGGAAGCGGATTTCAAACTAATTTCCTCTTGGAAATATTTTTTACCTTATACTTACTCTTGCAATAAGCAGCTTTGCCTAATTACTGCAAATATCTGACTTTTTCGTACATATTATTTATAATATTTTTAGTTTATTTAGTTATTTAGTTTATAATATATTTAGTAGTTTAGTGATGATTATGAAAATATAGTTGACAGGCGCCAAAAATACCCAAGGAAAATACGAAGTAAAACTAAAACAAAATCATGATAAATCTTTGATAAGCGTCAAATACGGAAAAGGAATTATAATGGAAAAGCATTCAAAGGCTGAGGAACAACAAAACACGGAATAATGGCACAACACCGTATACAATGAACTATCAACCTACACATGTATACTTCTGACTAAAACGAGTACTCGTTTTCTGGCCTGAATATGTAAGGAGTAAATGGTGAAAGCGAACGAGCGAGTTGTGGGTGGATGGTGAGAGTTGTCGAGGTAGAAACGACGATGGAACGGAAAATAAATGAATTTTCAGTTGTTTTTTGTTATAGTTCTCTCCATACACCGACAATTATATTTTACATTTTCATTCAATGCAAAATGCGTTACTCTTAAACATATTTACTGTGTACATATGTATGTATATTGGGAGTATATAATCATTTGTGCTTTTATACTTGTATATGTACATATTTATTATACGTACGAATAGATATGTACTTACATATGTATGTTTATGGATGGAAATATGTATTGGGTTAAGTAAAAAAAGGCAGCAAGGCAGGCAGGCTGTCAAAGCCATACACAGCCGAGCGCGTATAAGGCACGGAGAAATAGTATACGCGCAGCAGGAAAAATTAACACAAGCGAATGAAAATACAAATACTGTACATATAATCAAAGCAAAAATATTCGCAATTTTGCAATAAATATAATACAGAATTAGATATCTACTCTGCGAACCAAAGTCAAATTAAGCAGTTATTTGACAAATTTAATTTTTTATCTATTCCATTTCAAAGCTTTTTATAGTTGGAAATTTGTAAAAAAGTGGAACAGTGTACAAAAATAGATGAAACTCGTGTTCATAATATTGAAAATTTAGTGAACTAATAAATAAAAATATGTATAGCGTAAACACAAATAAAATATTATTTAAATATGAAATGTGAAATCTTAATTATAAATGAGAACATTATGCTACTAAAATATTCCAAAAGCGCTGCATTTGCACGAATAGATGTTATACATATGTATATAGCAAAGAAACCAGCGTGATGTACATACATATATACACGTAGTAATGTAGTTATATATATATGTATATAAAGGACCATTAATTGAAGTTATGCAAAATTATAATATGCAATATAAATAAATGCAATGCTTCTTAGCACTTATTAAAGTGCATTCCTAAATACCTGACAGTACATTAATGAGATAGTGTTAAGCAAAAGGATAATGTGACACAATTCAAACAAGCTGCAGGCGAAAAGAATTGTATTATGCAAACTCGAGAAATATTAACGAATCTGCTATTGTTATTTTCGTCGTTTTATATTATTCGCTAAAAGTGAAAAATGATAAAGATTTGGTTTAGTGCTCGAATTTCCGCAATGGATTCATACAGCTTCAGTTCACATTTCTAAGTTTCCAGTAAAACGATGCATACAATAATTTAAATGAAGCTACATATATGTACACAAGTATGCTTGTGTATAGAAATAAATACTGTAATTGCCAAAAATGTGATGTGCACGACAGAAACAATAATCTTCTTAAGTGCCACATTTTAATTTAATCATCTTCGTTAAGGCCAAACTCGCTTTATTGTTTCCCTCTACTTTATCTGTATCGGTGATATGAGCATATTCCTCTTCTTTGAATCGTTTAGGCTATTTCGTCTGCCATAATTTTCTTTTATTTGTGTTTTGGTTTGATTTTCTTCAGAATTTTTCCGTTTACCTCGTTCGCAGAAATAAATTAAGTAATGGTCAAAATAGAAAAGTAATAAGCAAATAATGAAATAAATCGAAGCAATGTCTTAAAAATAGAATTTAAGTAAAAGCAAGTTAACACTTTAAAAAAAACGTATGTATTTTGAAAGAATCAAGAAGGAAAACAGTTATAAAAGAAAGTGAAAATCGCTATTCATAACATTTAGTTACTAGAAATTCAGGGCGTTGTATCTATAGTTAATAAAATCGCCTGAAAACAAATATATTGAGCATACGGACAACTGAAAATGAGAAATGTACAATAACGGTAACACCAACATGGAAACAACAGTAACAAAATGAAAACGAGCAGTAGGCAAATCGTTAACGATAAACGAATTAAACATTGCTGTTTGTTCAATGTGCACACACATACGACCGCATTTTTATCCACTTCATACCATTTAACCTTCTGCTCCAAATAATTAACCCAACCGTTTTTTTTTTACTGCTAAGCATTAAACAAAAGTACACAGCGATCCTTGATGACAGGTAGGAAGATACAACGATAGAAATTACCGCCAACCAAATACATAAACGAGTAGGGTCAAGTTAAAGCAATTTAAAACTTTTTTTTGTATACTACATTAACATTATAAATTCCGTACGTTCTTATCTACCGATCGAGTATGTTTTCGATTTCTAGGTCATTATCGGATTTAATTGCATTGAAATGTGACTATAACGCATAACAACACAAAACAAAAGCAGAAATATTATAGAAGTCCTTATAGGAGCATATATAACACAGTTTCTAGTTATCGCGCTAACACAAGACTTTAACGTTTTTATAACCTTAGGTAAGACATCACAATGTAACAATATGTATCACCTATAAGGGCTTGTCTAAAAACATGACTACACTGTAAATTAGAAACTACATAAAAAGTGAGAGTGAATGCTCAGAAAATAGAGAGCTGAACAAATAACTTACAAGCAACAGAGCCAAAACAACCAATAGTTCAACAATCAATATCCGACCAATCGGTTCATATATTACCAAAGTCTAAACACATTAACTATCATTAGCTGTGTCAGCAGCCAGCCGCCAACTAAGCCATCTACACTATTGCCGTCAGCCCGCCGCCAAAAAAAAAACCAAACACACAAAGACACAACAACAGAGGTTAGGGTTATATTAACTAGTCAAGTTTGCAAAACGCTTTAGCCAATCAAGCTTATCTAGCAAACAACTAACCCGCCCAGGAAACAACACAATTCGGCGCCAAACGCGGTGACGTACTCTTATTAAAATGAATGCCAGTCTCATTTATGAAATCCTCATGTATTTGAATTCATTTTACTTTGGAATGTACGCCATATTTGAGATTGGTGTCGGTGTACTGAAGGCAATCGGATTAAATTATACTATGCAAGAGTTGACGCGAGAAGGGTGCATATTACTCGCATTGTGCATAGTAGAAACAATACGAATTGTACTAGGTCGGAAGAGCAGTTTAAGCGATCGAGGTATGTACTAAAAATCGTTGCCACTTGTTTTTCACAACTATTAAAATTTCAGCATTTAGTGCACATATGTATGTATGTGTGTGATTTGCATTGTTTATTTGCCTACACTGTAAACAAAACATGCCTCGTAACTTTAAACCCTGCAGGGCAATTTCACACTAATGCTATACATTTTTTCTAACATTAACCGCTCCAAGCTAAACAATAACATATCTACGAGAAGTGTGATATATGTATATACATATCTACTATAGCATCTATACTACGGCTATAATGTAACTTTCGTATAGAATTAACTCAAATAAAGAATTAAATAAATTTTTTTTACGTATTATATTTTATTAACTACATCTAATGGTTTTAGACCTATATTATGTCATTCAAATCAATTTCCTATAGGACAAACAATTTGTAGCTATATACATAAATACGCACGTGCCCAATGTTAGCACAAATTTGCATATGGGTTAAGAATTTCAATAAAGACAACACGCCAATTATTTTATTAGTTATGTCTTCATTTAATATACGAATATAGGTATAATAAAAAGTATTGATAAAAATATTTTCCCATAATTTGTTATTGAATTAGCTCACTTTTAATTATAACATGGGAGAGATAAAAAAACTGTAATTTAAGTAGTACCATTGAAAAGCCTAGCCATAGCATCCCACAAGTGCAATATGAGATAAAGTAGGGACAATAATTGGTAGTATAGCAACCTTTCGCAGTGCCGCAAGAACGCATTATGTCTGGAAGACACTGCACACACTATACGTGCATATTAGGGTGACCCTTGAGTATAGCAAGCAAATTCTAAATACGTAGTGCCACTATTCTAATAAAACCGAAGATGCGATGGAAAAAAGAAATACAATTTTGATTTGCTATACATACATAAGTATATTCAAGAATCGATTGAAACGAAGAGACCGAAGGAAATAGTAAATAATATAGTATTGCTTACACGTATCAACCTAATGGTCAGAGTTTATACAAATATAAACATGTACATACATACATATGTATATACGAATGAATGACATTTATAAATTTTAATAAATTTATTTTTCTTTTCCACTTGTAGGCTGGCAAGCAACAGCATCCGTAATATTAACACTGCCCAGTCTTGCTCTTGTTATCTATTTATGTCTTTTTCAAACCTACGTTCTCAAACTCGAATTGATTCTGAGTGCCTTAATGATAGCCCTCCAAGGTGCTGAACTAGTGTATGCCTGTGTCTTCATTTGTACCATGTTTGGCGATGTTACGTATACCTAGCAGTCGATAAGAATTTACATTAAACTTGTAAAGATGAACTTGGAACTTTAATGGTACTGATACAAGAATAAGGACGTTTTTACTTCGAAATCGAAAACACACATAACGAACGAAAGTTAAATTTCAGCCAACTTTTAGAGAAAAGCGCACATGGTTATCGTTAATCTCCATGGTCAAAATTGCAACAACAACAGTGATGCATTTCACCAAAACCAATAATACACAATTTCAGAAAAGAAGCCAACTCAACTTGCCAGTAAGGCAACTAAGGCAACTACAACAAACACCATTCTTATTTATGTATGTATGCAGTGAAATGTAGTTCATGTGATTAATACCGAAAGATACCCGAAGCCAAAACTATGATTTATGAACCGAATCTTATTATTTCGAGACTTTGATATGGAAATATATAATATAATATAAATGCAGCGAATAAAAATGTTTTTTCCACGTCGAAACTATTTAGAACGAATGGACGAGTATTGTATTCCATACTTTATACTACCAGGTAAGTCTTCACCGCATTTTAGTGCACTTCCGCAAATATAAAATTAGTTTAGTTTTTATAAGGTTGTAACACTTAATTTGTGTTTCTGCTTTAAACACTTTTTTAAAATACTCAGGCAAAATCGTTGCGCCTAATTACAGAACGCGACATGTCACGAAAACCAAAACACACAAACTGAATTGAATAGATAGTATTCAATAGCTAGTTTGGCGCTAACTTGTGCAGATTTTAAGATTTTATATGCACTACTAAATTTGCTTCAGATACTTTATTAAAAATAGCAATCACCGCCATAGCTAGCGGCCAGTGAAAAAAGAGAAGAAAATCTCTACGTTAAACAAAACCAAAAGAACTGCTTGTAGAAAGGTAATGAACGCATAAGTTTGTGAGTGTGAGGTGTAATAATTATCTTAATTAGGTGCATAAGCAACAGATGCAGTCGCCTGCAGCTGTGCCTTTTAGCAGCGAGAAATTGCAATAAACTAAAGATTTTATGACTCCACGCACGTTTAGCTACATACATATAGATGTAGGCATACTTGTAAGCATATAAATATGTATAGATAATGATGTATATAATATTCCAGGGGCTTAATAAATCTATAAACACAACAATCAAAAACAAAAAATACAATCTAAACCATTAAAACAAGAAAATTGCATTCTAATTTTAATCGACTTCCTGAAAATCAGATTTTCAACTTCATTAATTAATTTGAAATATGAATTTCTTAAAAATATGCTTTTATTTAAGATCACACGTAGCCATTACTTGATTGAACCTAATAAAGAAAATAATTATTTACTAAAAACTTTCGCAATTTTTTATTAAATATTATTTCGAAGCTAGAACTCATTGAACAAATCAATTATAAAGCTTGTTATTTTAAATTTCTATGACATACGGTTATTTTAAAAAAATTGCAACTGTTGCTTCTTATCTGTTTCTATTTTCCATTCACTGAGACCAAATAACGCATTAGAAGCGTAGTCTTGAGCAAAATTCACGAGACTGTAGGGTAAATGAACGTCCTTGATGACGTTCCCTACGGAACTGTGCCAAAATCCCAAATGCAAGTACACTTACAAGAATGCATACCAACAAGCAAAGGTAATAATCTAGTGCCTGTTGCATGTACATACATATCTCATACACATACTTATTGTGAATTGTTATAGAGCGACATTGTCATCGCCGGGCGATACTGATACAATACGAGTACATAGCCAAAGGTACCGTCAATTGCACCGCTAACAATCTGTGCAACGCAAACATACCGTGGTCAGTCTATAAATACGCGTCGAGACATAAGTGCACGGTACGGGCGTGATGCTTCTACGCGACACATTTTGATTACCCAGAAGCAAGAGTTTTGAATTATTTGTCAAAAACGCCAGCATACGGTTTTTAGTTACAGTGCTATTTTTGTGGAGAAATTTCACCATTATTCTGGTCGGATTTGAATATTTTTTCAATATGAAACATGGCGAAAATGAAAAAACGCTGAATTCCACAAACTGATAGTGCTCAGTGCTTACACCGCCCAGAAGCGTTAGCAAAAACGATCCATGTAAATTTGTAACGAAATGCCACCGCCAAAGAAGCCACCGATTCATGTGCCAAAGAAAGCCAATCCTAGTCTTGGCTACGAAGTGCTAATTTATTTGAATTCCTTCTACTTCGGAATGTTTGCCTGCTGTGAACTGAGTATGGGGCTGCTAAAGGCCATCAATCTATCATATCCGAATCACGTTTTGGCACGTGATTCAGCTGTTGTGATTGGTTTATGCATTTTGGAGACTATACGCATCATACTCGGACGCAAGGGCTCTTTAGCTGATAAAAGTATGGGAATTATATTTACAGAAATCTCAAAACTATAAACAACACACTGTAGATATTATCTAATATTCTGTTTTATTACTTTTTGTGTTTAAACATTGTTTTTAGTTCTTTTTTAACCTCGTTTCCCCATAACCGTAATAGTTGCTTCAACAATTTAATACATTATTGAATTTTGATATGTCAATTAATGTGCGTTTGAAGGCTGTTTGTTAACGAGGTAATAGTTTGTTTGGCGATATCTAAATATTGGGTCAATGACTTCATGGCGAATACTGTGGCGATGACTCTCGTTTCGGCATTTTTTTTAAGTCTGCATGCGCTCCATTCCCAAATCATTAACCAAAAGGCCTTAATTCCGTTCCTGCAGTCAAGCACAAGAGAATATTTGAAAAAAATTATTTTTCCTATTTAATTTTCCAAGTATTAAATATGACCTAAAAAATTAGAATAATCTGACAGAAAAAATTTGTCAGTACTATCTATTGTAGATTAATTATTTTTGTCTCACAAATAATGTTGGATATATTTATATTGGATTTCTTTCTTTTTACAGGTTGGCAAGTTATTTTATCTGTTTTCCTAACAGTTCCATGCTTTTTCGGTGTCTCCTACATATTGCTTCTACAAGAATATAAACTACGTCTGGAATACGTACTCTGTACTTTACAGATCGGATTATATTTGACAGAAGTTTGGTATGCAATACTTTCATTTTTTTCATTATGTCGTCCAGTAACTTTCGAATAAAATTAGCCAAAGCAGTAAGATAAAATTTTCAAATATTAATGTAACAAAAGCAGTTAATTAAGATTGAATTTGTAAATGTGAAGATTTTTCAGTGGTATTCAAGTAATGTAAAAAAGTGTAACATTATATTAATAAAAGAAAACAAAACACAAATCATAGCAATAAAATATACGAAAAAGAATTTTTAATGTAAGACAAAATCACATAAAATGTAAAGTTATGTATTATTGAAAATATGGAAATATAAAAAATATATATGTATGTATACAAACATATTAAACGCGAAGAATTGATATAAGAATTCTCAGACTTTTGAATACACCTTTTTATAGTACATACATTAATGTATAAAAACAAAACCTGTTACGTTTGTAAGTGAACAAAACAAAAAAAAATAGTGTAGTAGAAGTACACTTATTTAGACATAATATATAAATATGGCCTAAATATTTTTTGTCATAGAAATCATTGGATTATCAGTGTGTAGTTGGTTAATACACCAATAAATATTCATAAACTTTACAACGTAATGCAAAGGAACATACAAACAATCTGCTAAATTTCAGCATTAATATGAAAAATACTAGCGGAAATTCAAGCTCATTCTAAAGCGTTAATATATATACATACATATGTATATGCATGCATCTACATGTATATATGCATATGTGTATGTTAACTATATGAACCAAATTCACATTTATTCTTAAGGACAAGCGAAGAAAAAATAAATAGCATTCTTAAAATTACACAAAGTTAAAATTTGTAAATAGGTATATTATCATACAAGTCTATATATACCTAAATACATATGTACATATATACATACATGTCTCGCATATACAGAAAATCTATATATACATATGTACAAATGTATATTTATTTACATATAATATTTAAAGCTCTAGTTATAGGTATTCATTCACAGGCACAAAATATTTCAGAATTACTCCTTTAGATATGCATTACTCGATTGTGATGTGTAAGTACATGCATACAATTGTACCCATCTTCAAAAGCATGTAAAAAAGTCTTTATTCGTCTTATATATTTGAGATATGTTCACTTGTAAAATTTTTATAACAGTAATTTTATATGTAACTGACAGCTAGTTGCTAGTTAAAGTTTTGGTTAAGCGCTTAACCATATATTGAGAAAGAATTAAGTGATTGGAAAATTAAGTGTGAAATTGCTGTTGGACCCGAGCCCTATATACATATACACAAACATATGTACAAATTATATTTCCACTTCCAATATAAACAATAGCGTTCATAAAATGTTTGAGAACAGTACTGAAAAGCTTTATCTGCGTGCAGGACATTTCGAAAAATCAACTGCAATAACACTTGTCCACGCAATCATATGTACATATATTTTTACTTACATTTGTATACATATATTTATACGCAAAAAACCACAAAAGTGTACCGAATTTCGAGTTTTTATAAATCACAATAGGTATAAACCTAACCAGTTAAATCAGAAACGTCAAATTTACACATGTATATAAGCATATACATTGTATTTTATTTTTTTAATAAAAAATTCTAAACAAAATTATTCTTATTATAAGTTCGAAGTATTGTTGCCCCCGTTAGAAAGGTTCTTACGGTTGATAACTCTTGTGCCAACATTGTAGATTGAAATGTTTTTTGACAATGCTAGGTGTTTATCATAAATAGTTAAAATGATGATTACAATTATACTGGCAAATGATATTTTAAAAATATACTTTTCCAAGTAAAAACCTATACCACATGTGACTTATTTAATTATGGTTATATACAAATTTTTGAAGCTAATAAATCAAGCAGTTAAGAAATGGGATTGAAAATATTGGTTACTATATAAAGTGTTGTTGATTTAAAAAGTTATAAGATTTTCATATTCAATCATATTGTTTTTAAGAAAATAAACATGGATCAACATATATATAAAATAATCAATAACCAAAAAGTGTCTATAAAATTTTGAAAAATATGAAAATGATAAAAAAATTTAGTTCACAAGAGTTCTTTTTCTAAATTATAATAATTGTAAAATTTGAGGATGTACAAAATATTTATTTTACATTTATAAATCGGATAACATATGTATGTATGCACTTACACGTACTTTGATTCTGTGCATGCGAATATGTTCTGAAAATGGAAAATATTTAATTTATAAAGGAAGAACTAAAGAAATGTAATTATTTTATTGGCGATAAGCGCCGTATTTACTTTAAGATGAAATTATGCAGAAATAAGCCACAAAACGGTAAACACAAATCTTAATGATAGTGTAAATCTAAGACCTAACTGAGCAGTGTAAATTATAATAAAACTTATAACGCTATAAACAATACAGAATTTCCACATTAAATACATACATATGTATTGGAATACAATTTTTAGATAAAATTATTAATAAAATTATATGGTCAAATTAGTGAATTTTAATGATTTATATACCGGTGTTTATATTTTTGTTATATTGTAATGTAATGTAAACATACATATTATACATGCATACTAACATTAAATTGTAGATTATAATAGCTAATTTATGCGAAGAGACCGAACAATTTCAAATTACAATAAGGAACACACTCACAGACTCACAGACGGAAAATATAAGTCCAGAAAAATGCAGTGTGTACACCAGGTACTTATTTACATTATTTATGTATAAATGTAGGCATAAAAAACAATGCATTACTTATATAATGCACATACTCGTAAATATAGCCTATTTTTATTCAACTATACATATTTATGCATGAGTACTTGTGTGCACATACCTATGTACATGTATGTATAACGGCGTGGTGATTTGAATTAAAATTAAGAACTGGGAGTTCCCTTTACAAATTCAAATGGCAACTGATGCATTTTTATTTCAATAATTGGCTTCATTTTGGATATAAATAAGCATTCAAGTAAGTATTTATGTATTTTGTATCAAAGATGTATTCAAAACGTCGCTAAACTCTCGATAATGAAAAGGGTTAAAGTTTAAGGAAGCATGAATAATGATTTCTTAAATATGTGAACAGCTATTATTTAAAGCTACTATCAATTTGCTGCTTTTTTTTAACAATGTATTGGAATTATTTTCAAATATTCCACAATTTTCTCATTTCATATTTTATTTAAACTTCAGGAAATCTAAATTATGAATATTCAGAATTTTTCTTAACATTTTACAAAATTCCAAAATTAACAAAAAAAATTAAATTAAGCTTATCTAAAATATCGTCCATCATGTACTCAAAATCTAGTGAGACCACCGGTAACAAGCGCACAATTTTTATGCAAAAACATTTTTAGAACCAAACTATTTACTTTTTAGGCGAAGAAACAAATGATAGCAGTCACGCTACTCATTTGAAAAACAAAACGAATTTGACTACCAGTTCTGTTGCAACAAGCACACAGAAGACTAACTGGTTACCTTCATCGGATGAAGAAACTTACCGTACAGTTGTGGTAAACTATCGATATGCCAAAATGGATAAGAACTATCCTCGTAACACCGGTGCAATATCAAAGAAAAAGCATTGGAATCGTATGACTGCCTCTTTGACCACCAAACAGAATAGGAATGAAGAGGAAGCGGAGTATGATGATGTTCCTAATTTGCGAAAGCTTTATGATTGCTCCAAAGAAGAATTATGTACATACCATACCCCAAAACCTTCATATGAGAATTTATCTACTCCATTTCATGAATCAGCCAAGGAAGCTATCAAATTGGAAGTTTATTGCTTGCCAGTAGAACAGGAAGCAATAGTGGAGGAACCGCAAGTAAACACAATTGAAGAAAATGAAATCAAATCAGGCACTTTAAAAGATAATACTTACGTTTACGATGAAACAAAATCGCAGGAGAGCTCAGAAGAATGCGTTGAGGAAAGAACCGATAACTCTTTAGACACAACCCAAATTACAGGAAATTATCCGTCATATTCCGATTTTGTATTTCTGGCTGACCGTGAAATTGGCGAAACACCAGACTTCGATGCGGACTATTGTTGTGCCATGACTAAGAATAAAATAGATGGCACTCAGCAGACTTGCATTATCAAAAACAATACAAGAGCAACACAAAAACCTGAACGAAATAATGAACAGTTGCAAACAATTAAGAAGTCTGGTAAACGCTCTAGTGCCCTCAATACACAAAACTGTGAAAATTGTTTAGAGCTTACGGTAGCAGAAATACCAAAAGAAACTGGCAAGCAAAAATCTGCACAAAATCAAGGTGGCTTCCGTCAGCGTCAACAGGAACTGCACCGATATCGCATTGCAGTGGAACAAAAACGTTTAGAATTACTAGAAGTAAAATTGCAACGGGAACGGGAGGAGATGTTGCGTGAGCAAATACTCTTCGAAAAGGAGATCGAATTCAAAACGTCACAGATAAGACAGCTTAACGATGATAAGATCGTTGACATATTGTGAGGTTATGTATGTTGCATCACTTCAAACCGGAAAAGTACGAACAGAAAAGGAAACGAAGGTAGTAAGCAAAAAATGAATTCAACGTTAATTACAGTTAATATATATCATTAGCAAAAAAGGAACGATGTCAAATTTCACCAAATTACAATTTGTTACAATTTTTTCAATAAATATCCTATACAAAATTTTACAATATATCTTTATAAAATTTCTTTTATACAACAAATATTTCAGAACACAAAAAATAGTTTATTTACATTTTGTTACCACAAATTTTTATTTTATACTCTTTCAATTTTAAACAATTTAATTTCCTGTATTAGGACGTTTACTACGTATGTATACTTTATTGCAAAATACACAATGCTCAACCACCCCGAAGCAAAATAAAATACATCTCTGTGTTAGCAGCGCCTTTTGTTTTGTTTTTCCCGCCATTAATTTTAAAGTTGTCATATTTTTTGCAATTGTCGTATGCTCAACTAATTGTAAATTATTTTTATTAAATTGACGGGTTAAATTTGTACACATTTTATTAACTATCAAACCACCGCTGAGCACAATGGCTGACTCTCCAAGTAATATTAGTGATAAAAAGTGCTAAGAAAAATATGTTTATAATTATTGTCTACCAGGTGAACCTAGAGCAAAACGACAACGTGTGGACAAAGCAGGTCGATTCGCTGCGTTGGAGCGGTTAAAACAATTGAAAGGCAATAAGCATAAATACGAAGTGGAAGAGGAAGTGGATCATGTATATGAAGTGGTTGATGAGCGTGAGTATGCGAAACGTGCAAAGGAAAAATACGGCAATGATTGGATTGAGGAAGGTAAGCGTAATGTAATTGGAAATTCAATGACAACATTCCAACTCTGAAGTAAATATGTAAAAAAATTTCAGATGGTACGGGATATGCTGAAGATGGCCGCGATTTTTTCGAAGATGAGGATGACTATTCTGAAGATGAAGTGGCAGATAAAAGAGGTAAAAGCAAGAAAAACAGCCACAAACGTCCACGCGACACTGATAAACCAGTGAAAGGAAAGGGTTCGATACGTAATCTCTTCAGTAATGCTGTACCCAAGAAGACTCAAATGACATCATTGGCCGAAGATAATATACTGGCAGATATTTTAGGTGAATTACACGATAAACCGTTCAACAGTTCTACATCAAAAACTGCTCAAGAGATTCCAGTGACAGAACTAGCACCTATCAAACATATAGCACCAGCTCGAATTTTAAGCAAATCATCTAGAAAATCTGACGCTACACTCGCTAACGATTACATGAATAATTTTATAAATAATATAAAAATGGCGGAAAAAGTAAAAGGGGCTGACAAAACAAGTGACGATGAATTATTGGACAGTATTCTCAAACCAAAAGCCACAGTTCCTAATAAAAAGGTTTTGGAAAAATCGAAAGAGATCACTGAAAAGGCAGACACAGCAAAACAGATGAAAGGGCAGGTGCCCGTTAAAGAAACTGATACGGTACCAGTGGAAAAGGCACTAACAAATATGTCTGTCCAAAAGCCAAATGTTTCATCAATCGATACACCGTTAGGTGGAAATGACTTCCCAGATGATGATATCGATTTCAGTAATTTGCAAGACAACAATGCACAATTTGAGAAAGTTACGGAAGACGCAAACGATGGAAGTAAAATTTCGCCAAAAAAAAATATACAATTAAAAGCAGCGCCTGTGAAAGATGCTGACCACTTACAAAATTTATTGAGCAACTGGGAGCAAATATGTCAAATGGACAATTTTGAGGAGGAAACCACAAATGGTGAAAATGATTTCACATCGAATACGATGGGTAAAGAAGATACAGTAAAATTTTGGTATTGGGAAGCTTGGGAAGATCCCAATAAATGTCCCGGCGAAGTTTTTATGTTTGGTCGCACATCAGAAAACAAATCTATTTGTGTGCGAGTTGGAAAGATAGATCGCGTGCTATACCTATTACCAAGGAAATATGTAAGTGATGAAAACATTAAATATTTAACGCGTTGAAATGGATTGATTAATTTTTATTGCAGTTACTCGACCCAATTACTAAGGAACCTACAGACAAACTTGTTCAATTAAGCGACCTATATAAGGAATTCGATGAGGAAATTTCTGTAGAGCTCAAACTAGATGGATTTAGATCTCGTAAGGTTACCAAAAACTTTGGCAATCATTCTATTGGCATCGATGTGCCACAAGTATGTGACTATATGGAGGTAACTATTAAATTTTCATGTTTTTAATGAAAATAATTTAATATTTTTTAAATATTGAAATTATGATATCAAACTTTATAATCCGATTTGTTTTTTTCTTTACAGATACATTATGACGGCAAAAAACCTGCACCAAATTTAAAGAAAAAATATAATTCAATTGCCCATATCTTCGGTGGCAACACTACAGCACTAGAACGTTTTCTGCTCGACCGAAAAATTAAAGGCCCTTGCTGGCTAACGCTGAAGCAATTCTCAATAAATCCGGCGCCAATAAGTTGGTGCAACTCTGATGTCACCGTTAACGATTCAAAGTCCATCGTACTCACTGAAGAACCCAAACCCGCGCCACCACCACCACTCACACTACTCACATTAAACGTACGTACGGCACTTAATCCCAAAACACTTAAAAATGAAATCTGCATGATATCCATGCTAGTGCACAATCGCTTTCACATCGATCGACGTGCGCCACAGCCTGCTTTCAATAGGAGTATGTGTGGTATTACACGTCCTGTAATGGCTGCCTGGCCATTCGATCTCAAAGCTAAGTTAGCAAAATTCAATGCTATAAACGTGGTGAAGCATGACAATGAACGAGGGCTACTAATGTGGTTTCTTGCAATGTATCAACAAGTTGACGCCGATTTAATAGTTACATTCGATGCTATTGATTGCCAGTTAGATGTGATTACCGATCGCATTTCAACGCTCAAAGTGCCACAATGGTCTCGTTTGGGCCGCGTACGTTTGTCTGCACACAGCAGTGGTCGAAAGTGGCTCGATTACTTCGCTGGTCGTATGGTATGCGATGTTAAAAGAACAGCTTCTGAAGAAAAAATCAAAGCGCGTTCTTATGATCTGCAGACTTTGTGCCAGGCCGTTCTGGAAATTAAAGAGAACGAACGAATGGATGTCAACGATGAAGACTTGCTACAATTTTTTGAGACAGGTAAGCCTATTAGTTATACTATAGAACTTTAACACTTATCACATTTCTTTTATTCCAGGCGATGGCGTATTGAAATTAATAACACTAACCATGCAGGATGCTTCCTATATACTTCGCATGATGTATAAACTAGACCTCTTGCCATTGGCTTTACAAATAACCAATATTTGTGGCAATACCATGACGCGAACACTACAACATGGGCGCTCCGAGCGTATTGAATTTTTACTTTTACACGCCTTTACTGAGAAAAACTATATAGTACCTGATAAGAAGAAGCGTGAATGGACCGAAAACAATACTACTATTATTGATGGTGAAGGAAATGATACAACAGCGCCGGCAGCTAGCAGCGGACGTAAAAAAGCTGCTTACTCTGGCGGCATGGTGTTGGATCCTATAGCAGGCCTATATGATAAATATATACTGCTTATGGACTTCAATTCGCTTTATCCCAGCATTATACAAGAGTATAATATATGTTTCACCACTGTACAACAACCGTACAACAGCGATGATTTGCCACAATTACCCGATTCAAATGTAGAACTTGGTATACTGCCTCAGCAATTGCGACGTCTGGTGCAGTCACGTCGCGAAGTGAAAAAATTAATGGCGAAACCAGATGTTGCACCCGAGTTGCTCAAACAGTACGACATACGTCAGTGGGCGTTGAAAATCACTGCTAATGCTATGTACGGCTGCCTTGGTGCAGGTCACTCGCGCTTTGCCGCACAACATTTAGCGGCGCTGGTGACGCACAAGGGCCGTGAGATTCTTATGAACACAAAAAGTTTGGTGCAGAAGATGAGCTACGAGGTGGTTTATGGCGATACAGATTCAATAATGGTGAATACGAACATACTGGACTATGATCAGGTGTTCACCATTGGCAATGGTATCAAGCAGAGTGTAAATAAAATGTACAGGCAAGTGGAATTGGGCATCGATGGCGTATTCAGTTGTTTGCTGTTGTTAAAAAAGAAGAAATACGCTGCTATGAAGGTGGAGAAAGACACAAAGACTGGTGAGTTAAAGAATTAAAGGTATTTGCAAAGGCACGCAACACAAAAGCATGACGAAAGTGCTTTAGACATGTCAGAACACTGCACTCCGTACAATAACAGGATGGCTCCTGATGTCTTCGGTTAAGGACACAATATACTCATCACTAAGCGGTGTCTTCTTCCATGTTTTCGCAGAAATCATTCCTGCAGTCGTCTCGTAGAAGCATTAAGAAGACATTCCTTGATTACGTCGACGACATTGAACAATACAACGACCAGACAACGGACGCAACTAACTTCAGACACGCACTAACCGTAAAGCCATTAACTCCTCCCCAGTGAATGGCATACTTGAAGTTAAACCACCAAACATAGCAGACAAAGAGTTCGAGTTGCCTCGAGAATCTAGAGTGACCCTGGCGCAACTTCGTTCTGGATATTGTAGCAGGTCGAACTCCTACCTTATCAGAATTGACATACCAAATATATGCCCTGCGTGCAATGAGTCCCGCATGACTTTAACCGTCTCTTTGCATGCCCAATAAATCCCACTCATCTAACCACGCTATCCCTATTGTCCGACCCCGTCGAAACAGCACGTTTCCTAAGGCGTCCGTTAGATGACTTAAATATAACCAACTTGTATTTTACCACCTAAGCGGGGATTAGATAATTGCTACAACAACAACAACAACAACATGTCGTTTGTTTTAAAACTAATTTTTTACATAACATATTTTCTCCGTAGGCGCATTGAAAAAAGTGCAAGAGCAGAAAGGTCTAGACATCGTACGCCGCGATTGGTCACAACTAGCTATAATGGTCGGCCGAATTGTACTTGATGAAATCCTTTCCGAAAAACAACTCGATGAAAAATTGGATGCAGTGCATTCACATCTCGAGAAGATCCGTGGCCAAGTAGAATCTAATGCTGTACCATTACCAATATATATTATAACAAAGCAGCTTTCTAAAGCACCCACGGAATTCAACAATGCCATCTCACAGCCACATGTGCAAGTAGCATTGCGTATGAACAGCACGCGCAATAGACGCTATAAAAAAGGTGACATGGTGGATTATGTTATATGCTTAGATGGTACAAACAATCCAGCTACACAGCGCGGTTATCACTTGGATGAGGTGAAATCAAGCGAAACGCTGAAATTGGACAAACAATATTACATGGCGCATCAGATACATCCGGTGGTCACACGTATGGTGGATGTTTTGGAGGGCACAGACGCTAGTCGTGTTGCCGAATCACTGGGCTTAGATCCCAGCAAATTCAGAGCGGCTGCACAGAGGTAGTACTAACTACTACTATTATATATTGTATTTAGTTATACTTAGTTATTTTTTTATTCATATTTAGAGCACATCAAGAGCGCGTCGAGGATACCACTGGCGAATCATTGGTTAAAACGACTTTGCAAAAATATCGTGAATGCGATAAATTCAAATTCATTTGCATTGTCTGTAAGTCAGAAAATATAGTGGCAACCGCATTTCGGCCAAATGCCACTAATTCTCATGACGCTGTACTGCAGAAATGTGTTAATACGGATTGTAGCAGTGCGCCATATCAATACATTGTGGCCATACGCAATCGCCTGTTGCTAAGCATACGTTCCTACATTAAACGTTTCTATCAGAATTGGTTGGTTTGCGACGATCCGTCATGTAATCAAAATACACGTTTTTATACGCATGTTACAGCGGGAAATCGGCCCATATGCCCGTTTTGTAAGGCTGGTGCGTTAGTTCGTCAATATTCAGAGAGAAATTTGTACCAGCAATTGAGCTATTTTCAATACATGTTCGATTTGAGCAAGTACCAACATAAACGTAAGCATTTATACATTTATTGTAATCTATAAATAATTGTCTCAATCGCGAACAAAACTTACTCTTTTAGATGTGCCGCTCACACCAGAAACAGAGGCGGCTTATCAAATGCTCTTCGATACTGTAAATCAACAACTAGAAAAATCTGCATTTTGCACAATATCCTTGGGAAAAATATTTAGTTATTTTAAGCCTCTTGAGCAGAGTGATGAAATTTCGCATAAGAAAATTGATCTACCGCAACTGGAAATGCAAGTAGCCACCAGCCTGGGGTAATAATTATAACTTTGGCGTACTCACCAGTTTGAGTGTATCTATAGTAAGACGTGTTTAGTTTATTTATAAGTGTAATAATTATATAAATATTTATAAAAAAGAAAAAAAACTATTGTTCACCCCAATATTTGCTTTGAAAAGTAAAGAACGAAATCACTTTCTTAAACATGGTATTTATTTTGTTAAAACTAATTTGTATTTACACAAGCAACAAGATAGTGAACACACCAACAAACAGTATTTTGTAAAATATATAAATGTAATAACAATAATTACAATAACAAATATTCAGGCATCAATTTAAAAATTTGCTTGTAGGAAATTTTCGAAATGATTCATTAAATATGTCCGTAAATGCGCTGCTTACCAGCTCATTAATAAGTGGCTTAATAACGGGAAAGCCAATAGGCCACATACTATTTATAACACCATCAGCAAAGTTATCCAGACGTTCACGTCCCTCCGCCAATGCGTTAGCGACATGCATTTTCAAACCGCCAATACGATCGATCTCCACATGTACCTTTAGTAAAGCACCGGGCGCGCCCAATCGACGTACGCTCGTCGTTTGGCTGTAATCATACAGTGTCATATTCCAGAAGCCACTTCGTTTGATGGGTGTACCCAGTATTTTACCCGAAAACTCATACCAACCGTCTAAGCTCTTTTCCGGGAAATACTGCGCATATATGATACGTTTATTCGCATAGTCCGTGCGATATCTGGTAACCTCCGAATGCGACCAACCATATTCAGAAATATTGCGCAATATTAATTTAAATCCACCGAAGCTGTTTTGATCGCCACGCCGCAACTCCACGAAGGGAGAACGATGTGGATCGAACGGTTTAATGTTATAAGCAGGAACACCTGAAGAAATGAAATGCATACATATTAAGGTATTTACATATACGTATGTATATGCCAACTTTCATCAATATCAGTTAACTCGTTTTTGAGTTCACTCGGAACATACACACGGACACTGAATTTTTATATAAATATTAAGATATCTAGTATAAATTTTTATAGTTTTTTTTATTTTTTTTTATAATTTTTTTTATAATTTTTTTTTATAATTTTTTTTAATTTTTTTTTATAATTTTTTTTATATTTTTTTTAATAATTTTTATTTTTTTTTTATAATTTTTTTATTTTTTTTTCATTTTTTTTTATAGTTTTTGATGATGTTTTGAATATTATTTTAAATACATTTTTTTGTATACATATGTACATACCATATATATTTTTTATACTGTTACCCTTACCAGTTGCAAAATATGCACGTAAATCGTTGAATACCTCTTTCATACAGTCATCGAATTCGGCACTGCCTGTTTTACACTTGCCCAGAAGACGTGCAAAGTCGTCATCCACTGTGATTTGACCTTGTGCCTTTGCACCAAAATTTGTGGTCATGCAACTGATTACTATCACCAACAAGCTGCATTGCAGCAACAACTTGGATATGATGGCAAGTAGGGAAATGCGTCTAATGCGCAAGTCGGGTTGCGCATGCGCAGCAGTCACTCTGCCCAAACGACTGCGGCTAAATCTGTTGTTTTGTCTATTGCTGTTGTTGTTGGTCATTGAAAATAATTTGCGCCTCACGGTTTTTATATTAAAAGTAATTTGTTTCTTGCGCTATTTTATACCTTGGACTATGTTAATAGCTCGTTTACCGGAGTTTTGGAAGCTGTGAAAGAGTCACAGACAAGTATATATAAGCAAATAAATTAAACGTGCTCATGTATGTTTATAACAGTAACTACGTAAGTAATTATAATAAAATTTAAGACAACAAGTACACGTACTCATATTTTTTACGTTATTTAATTTAATAATTTGCTTAAGTTAAGGCAACCATACTTGAGAAATCATCTTTACTATCCAGTTGCTTTTGCAATTCCACATCAAGTGCACACCATCGTTAATCACTAACGCCAACGATGCAGTATGTAGTAATCGCTAACACGTTAAAATGTTGTGGGCTATTTCGCATTCAAAAGCACTTTTTAGCTTGCCCCAATCGACTATTTGCATCATTGTGGCAAAGCTTCGCAAAATTTGCTACATTATATTCTGCAACCACTTTAAGCTTACAAAAGGCGTAGCGTGAAACCTAGCGTGTTGAGTTCAAGTTGGATACCAAAATTCCAATACTTAAACTTACATAATCGTATCGGTAATGTGGTCTCACAAATATTTTTTTCACATAACACCAAATTTCGTTTGCTGGTGCATACTGTTATCTTAATTCTAACCGAAACTAAACCATTGATTCGGCGAGTCTTTCCCCTTCCTTTTGTGACTACACATTCTATAAAAAGCAAGATGATCGACGTAGCTGAGGTATTTTTATACCCTGAACGGGGTATATAAAGTTTGTAACACTCAGTTGGAAACGTTGAGACCCAACAAAGTGTATATGTATATAAATGAGCAGTTTGACGAGTTGAGTCGATTTAGTCATGTCCTTTTGGCTGTATATTATATATTGTTTTTGAGATATAGATTTTGCACACGTGCTATTCTCCCTAAGAGTGGTAATTTGTCGTAATCGCCGATAGCGGACCACCAAAGCATATAGCTGCCATACAAACTGACCGTTAAAAAAAATTCTTTTTTATACCCATTTATGCTATCGGAAATGTACAGATGAGCCATAGTTTTGAGGTTAAGTTAATTAGAAAACAGTTTTTGAGTGGCACACTAAACGTCTCTTATCTTCGCTTGGGAAATATTTAAGCAACTTTGTTTGGAATTATGACGAATAGTGTATGGGCAGAAACAATGAAAATAATGGAATCAAAATTGAAAGACTTTAACTTCTCTTAAAAAGTAATCATATATATCAAAAGTAGACACCACACACAAAAACGGCATTTCAAACATTCGAACACTTGCAGTTTCATATATGTACGTATGTAAGTTTGCAATATATTTTATTTGCGTAATAAAAAAAACAATAATGCATGTTTCACAATTGGCAATTATTGTTGAAAAATAATGCCAATATGTGTTACATACATATATAATATAAATACATACGTAAGAGTTTTTGCTTCACTTCACTGTTTTTTGAAGGCGCTTTTGAAAAGAAAAACTTTAATAACACCAAATTTGTTGTACGAAAGCAACTACAAACACTTTAAGCAAGCTAGAAAATAAGTCCCGACTGGCGCATACCCGTTGTATTCCCGTACGCTTTAACCAAAAAAATCGTCAGCGCATGCGCAGAAATCGAAAACTGTTTGTACGACACTCAACTGGCTACTGAACGTAGAGTTAGATCAATTCAGCTGCATAAGCGCCAAAAATTTTGTAAATTAACGAAAAACTCAGGGAGAGAAGCAAATGTAAAAATTGCATAATAAAACAAAAACAAATACACGTTAAAGCGCCATAACAATAAAACATATTACTTGGAAAAACAAAAGTATTATCATAATAGTACTTGGACAGCAGATACTCAATCAATTTGCATTTTTGAGAACGATGAAGATTTTCAACGTAATTTAGTGGCTTTTATAATTTTTAAGCGCATTGCGTAGATAAGTACTATTTATTCTTAAATGCAACATACAAATTTTTACGAAAAGAATATTAATTTTTTTATATACAATAGCTTAAACGTCTAATTTTTTTCATTTCCTGAAATTTCTGTAAACTATGGAAACATAAAAAAACCAAAATGTGTATGTAAGGTATGTTTGTATGCATGTTAGATAAATATGTAAGTATTTATGTGTACTTGGTTTGTTTTATATCACTTCGAGCAACATTTATGCATACAAATTATGACCGGCACAACAAACTATAAGCGCCGTTGTAGCTGCGAACGCATTTCAATGTCATTGAACATCATTTAGGTTGACAACAACAATAGCAATGCTTAAAATTCGGTTAAAAGTTGTCAAGTACTGTGCGCTTAAGCTTGAAATTATTGTTAATAAAACGATATTTGTTACAATAACAAAAACAGCAAAAAAAACTTAATTTACATTAACTATTTTTCGTCTCCAATTTACTGCTGTTTACAATAAAGTTGGCTGTATTGAATATAAAAAATGAAGTGGTATTCCATTTTACTATTATGACTCCAAACTGACGACTTTTATCTAATAATTTGCCTTGTCCACCAACTGCCTTATAAATGTCAACATTTATAAAGTCTACAATACTTAAATTAAATTGTAACACTAATGACAACAAACACCAACGATACAAAACATTGAAGCACCGACACCTAGCGCATTGTGGGAAACTTCATTTGCTTCAAGTTCGTTTCATAAGTCTTTTGTTTACAGCCCAAGTTCAGTCGTTTGCAGCTTAGTTTGGAATCAATTCTAAAGCAGAAAAGTATAGATGAGTAATTATTGTACTCTAATTGTCTAAGGCTATTGTTTGTAATATTTTAGGCAAATTTTTTTTTTTTTTTTTTTATAATATAAATGTATATAAAACTTCGTAAAATGAAAATGAGTATTTTTAAACGCTCACTTTAAAAATGCTTTTTAATAATTTTTCCTACGAATATGTATGCACATATAAGAAGCATTAAGGAAATACAAACACATGCATATCTATTTATATATGTGTACGAGTATGTGCACATTATTGCTGCTTACAGTTGTGCTAGATGTTTGGCCGAGCTTCTCATCCTTTTAGTGATGCTCAACTAGCTCTGAACGGCAGATGAAATTTATGAGAGTGGTTTTAATACCAGAAATACAGTCAAGAACTTGAGATTCCCTTGAAGGCACGGTATTGGAAAGAAAATTCGCTAGATCACACCCGAGATGGGAACCCATTATTCCTCGTGTAGCAGTTAACACTTTAACTCACTTGAGCACTTGCATTTTAGCATTGGTAAAACTGGTCTTGTGCATGCAATCAAGTAACTACGTTACCACCAACATCTTTTAATAGGTTAGTATGCGAAAAATCGTCAAGTCATGCAACCATTGCACAAATTGCAACTGTAGTTGAAAAATATGTCAAATAAAAATGTATAGCTCTACGCTCTCTATTCAAGGTTTTAATAAATATGAAAATATTTGTAAACCCATATTTAAAAAAAATAATAACAAAAAATTTCTTAATACAGATTCGGCGCATTAGGATAAAAATTTCACAGGTGCAGGGCCGTAAGGTCTGAGACCTCTTCCAATTCCCAATTCCCACAACAGCCGGTTCTGCGATACCGGAATTGACCCGGATTTTATCCGGCCAAGGGCTGTTATTTCGACGATCTAACCCTGTTTGGATCGGTAAGTTTTAGATTAAGTTTGTCGTCACTGGAGCAACGCCTAGCAGCAGGGTTGCTCCGTATCCTCCTGACCCGTGCTGGCATCGAGTCCAACCCGGGCCCCGAGGTATTCTACTGCTGCGTATGCGCAAAAAGGCTCCATCCAAATTCCACCTCGGTTAGGTGCAATACATGCAATGGATGGAGCCATCTTAAGACCAGCTCGGGCCTTAAGACACACAGGGAGTGGACCACGAGTTACGTGGCCCCATGCTGTCAACGCAATAATGCGACATCTGCCTCAACGGCCGTGCAACCTGCACCATGTTCGCGCACTGCGCTGCCACTCCAGTCGAGTGGCCAAGATAGGACCTCCACGGTCCTAAGGAGCTCACATAGACAGCATAACTCCCAAACGCGACTCTTACAATTTAACTGCAACGGACTCCAGAGCAAGATCGAGGAGATAGTTGCATTTATGAGCCGGGAGCGCGTAACGATAGCTGCGGTCCAAGAAACCAAGTTAAACAGCCGCTCAGATCTTCTGAGTTGTACAGGTTTCAACGTTTTACGTAAGGATCGCGAGCGGGATAATGGTGGAGGCCTAGCCTTCATATTGCACAACACCGTGCAATATCGTCTAATCGATGTTGACATCGACCGCAGGGACACTACCCTAGAATGTCAGGGAATAGCTGTCCGGTCAGGCGATGTCGAGCTCGAAATATTTAATATATACATCCCCCCAGTTACATGTTGCCCAACAGGATATCACCCGAATATAGATGCGCTACTTCGTGGTGAAAACCGTCTGGTGCTAGGCGACTTTAACGCGCATCACGATCTTTGGCATTCCTGCCTGTCAAACGATCGTAGGGGGATGGAGCTGGCGGAACAGATAGACGATTCGACATTCTGCACAATGAATGACGAAGCCCCCACCAGAATTATGGGCACCTGTAATAGCTCGCCAGATATTACCATCGCTAGCGGTGGTCTGATAAATAGTATAACCTGGCGACCTATGCTAACTCTTGCATCAGACCATTTGCCCATAATTATCTCGATCGAGAAACCTCCTGACTTTATTATAACCGCACGTATGTTAACTTTAACAAAGCTAACTGGGTCGGCTTCACAGAATTTACTGAGAGCACCTTCAACGCACTATCCATTCCTACGGACGTCATCGTTGGCGAGCGTCAATTCCGCAAGGTGATCGCTGCTGCTACAGCTCGCTTCATACCGGCTGGAAGAATAGCGGAACTCCGCCCTAATTTCCCAGCCGAAGCAGCTGTATTAGCAAATGAGCGCGACACCTTACGCCATGCCGATCCCTGTGATCCCCGAATAAGGGATCTCAATTTGGAGATTCGGCAAATGGTAAACCATCATAAGCGGACAAAACGGATAGAGCACCTGAAGTCCTGCAACCTCTCCACCGGTTTGAGTAAGCTTTGGACTACTGTCAAGGCCCTGTCAAATCCGAGGAAACATGACGATCGGGTTGAAATCCAATTCGATGGCCATGCCTCCTCGGACCCGAAGAAGTGCGCGAGCTACTTTAGCCGGCAGTTTATACTGCACCCTTCGACCGACAAGGCCAAACGATGTGTTACCCGACGGTTGCGCAAAATGCCAAAAGACTGCGCACCACTTACTTTCACCGATGGGGAGGTTCAGAGTGTCATCAAAAAGGCGAAATCGTCTAAATCCATCGGCCCTGACGGAATAAACATGCTGATGTTAAAACATCTAGGCCCAACGGGAGTAAACTACCTCACCAAGGTCCTCAACCTGTCGATATCCACTCTTCAAATACCCGATGTGTGGAAAGTCGGAAGAGTGGTCCCACTGCTGAAACCTGGGAAACCCGCCAACAAAGGGGAGTCTTATCGCCCGATAACTCTCCTTTCCTCAGTAGTGAAGACACTTGAGGCCTTGTTACTCCCGTCATTCACCCACCACCTGAGCCTAGCAGACCATCAGCATGGTTTCCGTAAAGTGCACAGTACCACCACAGCACTTAGCGTCATAAACGCCCAGATAGTTCATGGCCTGAACCAGAAGCCACCCTGCGAGAGGACGATCCCCGTAGCGTTGGACTTGTCAAAAGCTTTTGACACAGTCAATCACGCAACGCTACTTGAGGACCTGGAACAATCAACGCTTCCTCCAGGGCTGAAGCGGTGGACCATGAACTACCTGAGCGCTCGACACTCATCCGTACTATTTCGAGGTCAAAACTTCAAACTCAGGAAAATTAAACAGGGGGTTCCGCAGGGCGGTGTCCTCTCCCCGCTACTGTTTAATTTCTTCATTTCGAAACTCCCCCCGCCACCAGCGGGAATTTCAATGACCTCGTACGCAGATGACTGTACGATATTGACGTCGGGCAATGGAATCGATGGCATGTGTTCAAAAGTAAACGGCTACCTCTCCGATCTTTCTCGCTTCTTTTCTGCAAGGAACTTAACACTCTCCCCCACTAAATCCACAGCGACCATCTTCACCAATTGGACGAAGGAGTACAGACTGGACCTGAACATTTCAGTCGATGGCACAAAAATTCCGACAGTAAATAACCCTAAAATTTTAGGCGTCACTTTGGACAGTCTGTGCTCTTTCACTCCTCACACGACCGCGATAACTGCCAAAGTACAGAGCCGCAACAAAATCCTCAAGTCGCTTGCCGGCAGCTCATGGGGAAAGGACAAAGAAACGTTGTTGGCAACATACAAGGCAATCGGCCGGCCAGTCCTCAATTATGCAGCCGCAATATGGTCGCCTGGATGCAGTGACACGCAGAATAAGAAGCTTCAGACTTGTCAGAACACTGCACTCCGGACTATCACGGGGTGCCTCTTGATGTCCCCAATCGAACACCTACATAGCGAGGCCCGTATGCTTCCGGTTAAGGAACATAACGAGCTCCTCTCCAAGCAGTTTCTGCTGGGATGTTTTCGCAGAAACCACCCCTGCAGACGCCTGCTTGCAGCGGAGCAGCCTCCTAGGAACATCAAGAGGTCCTTCCTTGACTACGTCGACGACATCAGACAGCACGCCGACCAGACTTCGGACGCAACTAACTTCAGACAAGCACTGACCGCCATTCACAGTGGAGCCATTAACACCTTCACCGACTCCCTTTCAGTGAATGGCGTAATACGAGTCAAACCACCACCCATTGCAGACACAGAGCTCGAGTTGCCTCGCGAATCTAGAGTGACCCTCGCGCAACTTCGTTCTGGATACTGTAGCAGGTTAAACTCCTACCTATCCAGAATAGACCCTGACATACCAAACACATGTCCTGCATGCAATGAGTCTCCGCATGACACTAACCACCTCTTTGCATGCCCAACAAACCCCACTCATCTAACACCCCTTTCCCTATGGTCCGACCCCGTCGAAACAGCTCGTTTCCTGGGCCTTTCGTTAGATGACCTCGACGACAACGAATCTAGAATTTATCACCCAAACGGGGATTAGATAATCGTTATAACAACAACAACAGAACTCTGAGCCCGAAAGGAATTTTTCCAATCTTTCTTAAGCTGTTAAATTTTGCTGAAATTTCTAGTGATTAACATTGTAAACAATGTCAGGCTTGCATTATAATGACGAATCAGAAAAGTATTTTACCTCTTCGAATGGGAAAAGTAGTTAACGCTTTGCTTGATACTTTGATATTTCTCTCAACAAAATATTTAAATAAGACAAAACAATTACATTGCGTTTAAAAATATTATTTAAAATATCTATTCCAGTTTATGCGGATCTAATTTGAATCAATCAATTAAAATCGTGCAAACTTTTCCTTTTGACAACGAGAGCATGAATAATTCCGTTTACAACACTTTATTTTTCATCTATTACAACACGGTCATATGTGTCACTTCACTAGTCGAACGGCTGATTTAAACCAAAACATAAAGCACGCCGGTGACTAATGTGCATTTCACATTAAATTAGTATTATTTACAATAAGCGAATATAAAAAGTGGCTCCTCATCAAAATGGAAGTCGAATTTAGTAAAGAAAACTTCTTTCTACCTGAAATTAAATACGAATGTAAGTACCAGGAAAACAACTTGCTTGCCAAAATTCGCATGTTAATTCAAATTTACGTTTGCGTTTGTTTTCTTTATAGATTTAGATCACACCGCCGATGTGCAGTAAGTGAATACATTTTTATTAATGTTTGTCATTCATGTAAGTTAACAATCTTTGTACATTTGTAGGTTGCACGCCTGGGGACATACATTACTGGAAACTTTTGAACAGTGTGGTATGGCAATGTTCGGCTATATGACTGAGCTAGAGTATGTATCCGTCGAACAGTGTTTTCAGATTGAAGCTAAGGGTGATGATGTAGAAGGTTTATTATTTCATTTTTTGGACGAGTTGCTCTTTCTATTCTCCGCCGAGCCTTTTTTGATCTGCAAAAAATTAGAAATTACAAAGTTCGATTTGGAGACATTTGAAATAGAATGTCGTTGCTATGGGGAACCTTTTGAAATTGGAAAACATCCACAAGGTACCGAAGTCAAAGCCATCACCTACTCTGCGATGCAAGTGATACAGGAACCCGAACGAAGTCACTATGAAGTTTTTGTTATAATCGATATTTGATTGAGTGAGAAAACGATTATAAATTAATACAGAGGTCTACGTAGTCCTCTAATTTTTCTTAGGTAAAGCGTACATGTTTGAATGCACAAAAAAGTTATTTTGAAGGATGAAATGAAACTTAGTTTAGGTCTGTGAAGTAGTGTATTTAACATTTTTCAATACCTTTCAATAAGTATATTTTAAAAATTATTGAACTCTTAATAACCTTAAAAAATTAGTTATGCTGTCGGTTATAAATTAAAGCAGTGAAACATTTTAGAGACGTACACACATATGTAGATAAAAAAATATAAGTTATTTTAAATAAATATTTATTACGCTTTGAATGTGTAAATGTATTTAATTTAATGTAAATGAAACGTGTATATATTTTGCAGAAAATAAAGATATATCAACTAACCTAAATTTTTATTTGATGGTTTAATTTTGACAGACATTTTAAAAACATTTCCAGTGTTCTATTGAATACATATGTTTTATTATTTTAAATTTCTGTTAACACCCTTAATTCTTTAGACTTTATTTAAAATTTTTCCATTTTCTATTTTCCGCACAGAAAAGACTTTCATCCTCCTGAATCTCTCCAAATATTCAAAATCTATTACTATTATTTTTCTTTCCTTTTAACACACTCGTTACAGCTGATCACCTCCTAACTTTATGTTCTCATTATCTCGCCATGTCTTTTGGTGGCATATTCGTAAATATTTACATTTTTGGTGGTAGGTGTTTTTTGACAGTATCAGTAGAAGTTCACTTCAGTTATTTTATAAACAATTTCATGTAAAACTAATATTAATTACAATGAAACGTATAAAATTTCACTGAAGTATTTTTCAAAAGTATTGAATTTTTTTAAAATGAGTTTTCTTGAAAAAGTACCCACAACGGTGTATATCACCAGCTTACAATATTATTGCTGTGGGTGCTAAGTGTCTCTCATTGCTTTAACCAATTTTTCCACTAAAGCGTGGAAAATATTTGCATTTATCTTATATGCACACATCGATTAGATTTTTTAGCATTGCTTGTATGATTTTACACGAATATTAAATTTTTTCAGATATACCATAGAGAACCACAGCTGTTCTATAGCTATGTGGCCGGTGTTGTTTCGCTAATGCCAATTAACCATACTATTGGGGCGCTCTTTTTAACACATGCTCAGCAAAGGAGATGCAACCGGTGAGTGTTTGTCTTCTATCACACTCACACTTCTTCAACAAATAAATTAAATGAATGAAACATCCTCAGCTACTTTTGCGACAGCGATTTACATTTGACAAGTGTCAAAATGTAAACAACAACACAAGTGACAACAAAAACGGACTGTTTGTTGTTGCGGCTTTTCGAAAATTCATCGCAAGTAGAGATATCCGTAAAAGCAGCGATATCAACGGGGCAACAACAGCAGCACAGACAGAGCAAAGCAGCAAAGTGTGTGACATTTGAAGCATCAGCACTAGTTGGTGGCAGCGTGGTATGTGAATTGTGTGTAAAAACTTCAAGTAAAGTAATAAATATTAAAAAAAAAAAAATCAGGAAGTGTTGAGTGAAATTTTGGATTCAAACTGTAGAGGAATTGAAGGAGCGTACATTGTCCCCTGTTGAAGGGAATTAAGTGCATGCAAATTCCATTATAAAACATAGCCCCTTTCGCCACTACCTTCAGGAAATGCGAAGTATAGACCAGTTGGTCGTATCAGATATTACAAGTATATACTAATGAGTAATAAGTATAAAACGGGCGTATTATTTAGAATATACTCAGGTTATTAAAATCCAAAAAGTAGTATTTAAAACGGGCAAAGTGTCGAATTGGATAGTTGGGGCAATGTAGGCACGAGGAAAATTTTGTAAAAGAACGAGAAGTGTCGGACGGACGAAAGCGAAACGCGAAAAGTGAACAGAGCCAACAACACCGATGAACGAACGAATATTATTTCGTACGATTTTTGATGGAAGTTGTTAGTGGCTTTAGGTTTTGTTGGTACTTTGCAAGTATAGTCTAACAATGACAGCGGCTGGCAACCCGCTTTAGTGTTATGTGGAATTCCAAATTTTCGTTATATTCCTCTACTAGCCCTACAGCAATTAAAAAAACATCTAACGACCAAAGCATCGGTTGTTCGATTTCGACGTCGACGCCAACATCAGCGTATATGGTACGTAAAATACACACATTTGTGAATGTTGAGTGGAGAAGTGAGTGAACGGTAAGTCCACAAAGTGGAAGAGAAACAACCAGGCAGCCACGAAACGAATTCGGTGGATTTTATTCGTTTGCAGTGAAAACGCAGTTGAAACTTATAAGATTCTCAGAAATAGAAAACTGTAAACGGATTGCTAGTTAAGAAATATGAAAATACGTTTAATTAGTTTTAATAATTATATAAAAATAATGTAACTAGTGGTGTAATTCTGGAAAAATTGGGTGTGCATATGACTTCTACATATTCTCTTCAAATAAGTAATACTTGTATTGCTTTACGCTCCTTAACGCATAGGTGCGTGAGACCTAACCGGTGATTGCAACTTCGGTGGGTGGAACGGTGTTGCTGGCAACTCACTGTATATGGTTGCATGGTCGTTTTCCAGACACTCGTTCCTGTAATGAATTTTAACTAGCTAAAATTTCTATTTTTTAGTATCATTTGAGGATAAAAATATCGAGTATAAATAATTGTTAGGTTCGTCAAGCGTCTTATTGTACTCATTCAACTACAGCTAACCAAAAAGTACAACGTCGTCGTTATCGCAGTTGCTGACGACGTTTTCAAAGTTCATAGCTGTTCATAGCGAAGATGGGCGATGCGCACTTTCTATAAACTAAGAATTTGGCAAATGTGTACTAAATAAAATTCGTATGTATGCGAGTTGCATTACTACTTAAATATAAGTGTTAATAAGTATATACATGGGTGCGTATATTATTTTATGAGCACACGTGGCGGCACCCACATATTTGTTCGCTGTAATGCGTTCAAATGCTGATAATGCATTAACGCCTATTTGTGACGCGAAAATTTTCATTGATTTATTGTGAAAGTACTTGCAACATATTCGGGAATTAGTGAGTGTAACAATAAAGGTGGTGTTGAACAGTTAGGTGATGCATTTCGTTGAAGATTTTTATATTTTTTTAAACAACTATTTTCGTTTTTGCTGCGTTGTCACATGTGTGCAGCTGACGTGCCTTTACTCCATTCTGCGTCGAGTAAGAAAACCCAGAAAATAAAACCGCAGCAACTATAAGTGTAGGTACTACTCAATTGCTTTGCGAAATTTTTAACAAAAACATTAACATCTGACGGAATAACGAGATGAAAAGTGTTAAAATATCGGGGGCAGAGTGAACTAGTTCAAAATCGCTCACACTGACGGCCCGAATATAATATAAGGGAAGACAGAAATATACGAGTGGCTCGAAATCGAATCAGAATTATCACCCATTGTTCGTCGTCGTCGTCGTCCGTAGTCGGCGTAGACGTACTGCGCTGTTACCGCGACATTTTAAGTTTCTCGGTTTTTGGCGCTGTTACCGCCGCTGCCGACGTTTTGATTGCCTCACACCGTTTCTGATTTTGCATCACATTAAAAATTTTCAGGTATTCCTGCATACTAATAAATTCATTTGCTTATATTGAAGCTTGCAAGAAATACATATGTTTTTTTAAAAGAAAAAAAGAAAAACGTTCTTCTTGAAATAAATAGAAATTTCAGTTGCGATTACTAATAGCACTATTTTACATCAAAAACCAATATATTCATTATAATTATACAAAATAAAGTTTAAATACAATACTTCATTACTGCTTCGTATTTGAGCTATTATCTTTTCCTACAGCTTTCTTGAACTCTGCTCAATGATTTTCTAATGGATTAATATCAAGTTACTGAGTAGGCCAGCTCATAACTTCAACTGTATTTAAAGCAAACCAATTGTTTGCCAGCTTTTCGGTATGCTTGGGATCGTTTTCTTGTTGATAGACCCATTTCAAGGTCATTTTCCATACAGCGCGTGCTAACATCGTTGATTTCATTATTGCAACGCACAATTTGGCGTCCATTTTTTAAATCCTATAGAACGGACCTATACTATAATAATATACGCACTTTCATACTTTGATTTTGGCACCTCAATGTTTTACCGTCCTGGAAACATATCTAGGATCAAATTAATCGTTTTCTGTCCTTCGTACAAAATGTCGTCGTCCTCGGGAACGAAATAAACTTATTTTCGTACCGGGGTTGAAGAAATGACACATTTCTTTGGCTTCGACCCAAAATTTAGCTGTCTTTAACTTTTTTCTTTCTAAAGACACACTAACACATAGGATTTAAGTCATCTTTAATTTTTTGAGTTATAAAATGGCTTTTCTCGGGCCAAGACTAAACTTTTTTAAATTGTGTCCGCGAAAGAACCTGTTTTCGTACCCTTTTTCGGGACTTGGCTTCCATTTGTTTTTGCATTCGCAATCATTTTGACAGAAAATCTGAGTAAAACTTTTATAATAACGTAAAATTTCCACTCCGCCAACAATTTTTAATAAGATTTCGAGAAAAAACCACTATGTAACACAAAAAGTAACGGAACTTTATGTAGATGATAACTGTAACAAAAAGCAGTTCAAATACAGACTCTCAATATTCGGACTTACGTTCTGAATGATACGAATGAAAACAGTTTGTCGGTAACGTTTTCAAAATTAGTTGCATTAAGAAATGCACTTGTGAAATGTATTATAGCTTCGGTCCAGCAGAAGTTAATGCTATTTCTTGTTTTAACTATATGTTAATTATACTAATTGTCAACATAATTCATATCGGAGTTAAATACCAAATGTGAAATCGATTATTATAAATATACAGGTAAAAAAATATTAATAATTTTTAGTAAAAAAGATTTTTTTAATCAGCTTGTACTGTAGTTGTGCTTATATAGTACATTTGTACCTATTTGTACGCACTACAACCATTGTGTATATACAAAGTGCTTAGATAAATAAAACTCAAAAAATAATAGTGAATTATTTGAATGGAAGTTTTCAAAGATATTTCTAGAAATATTATCAAAAAAAACATAGTGAAGGTTAAAAATCAATAAAAGCAAACAAAAGATATCGCCAAAGGTTAATTCAGAAAACTAGTTCAAAGTATTGAATGCAACGAGGAAAATAAGAAAAAGGATTTATGCTAACGTTAAAGGGAGCAAATTATCAGTACTCTGGAACATTAGGTGAATTGAATGTTGGATTATTGTACATTATAAACAAGGTAATTTTAAATCACTACTGTACCTACATATAGTCACCTAAAATGCAAAATAACGTATAATCTAAAAATTTTCAATTGAGTTTTTTTTTACTGCTGACGATTCACTTAGCCATCACATCTGCTATCAGCTATACTCAAGTTTAAACCAATATGCAAAATAACTTAACATCAATTTTGGTATATGATTTTTGTTCATTCGTTTTTTCCTGCTCTTATATACTTGTAAAAGCGATGTTACGATATTTTGCATTGTAGATGCGCATATATATTTATTATATCCTGAACAGGATGTATTAAGATTGCCACGAAGTAGGTAACAACCACAAGGAAACTGCGCATACGCTAAAAAGCATACATTTGTATATATAAATTTGTAATTGATCAGCATGGCAAGCTGAAATGATTAGACATGTCCGTATGTGTGTAAGTACGCGATTATGTTATACAAGTGTGATTTAAGAAGTGTAAGTTTTTACAAATTTCTTGATTACTATAAAAACCTTATTAGTGTTATTTTAAATATAAATGATATTTGCCATTTACATTTGTATTTGTAAATTTATATAAAAATTTTGTCATCTCTGTTGGAATAAATTAATACATTTCAAGTGCACGAACTTTTATCACCGTTATTGTTTAGCAATCAACTCTGATGGTCAATCTTAACACTAAGTCTTAAGTATTAACTTTTGCCACTAAATAAAAATGTAGTATTGCAACTTACATATTTTTTTCTCTACTTTAATACTTACATGTGTGTATATGTATGTATGTACTTCGTCCTTGATTACAAAACAAAAACAAACAAAAGTTACGGTTTTTTTTCTTATATAATAAACCGGTTTCGAGCCAGCGGGATGAATGGGAGATACATATATGTTTTAGCTGTTCGTTTTTATTTATTTCCACTGTCATTGTTATGTATGTATTAGAGAACAGCCTTGCAAAAATTCGTGCTCTTAGCTTTGATTAAAGGCAGGCAACCGGAAAATAAAATAACTGAATAATCGGTTGAATGCGAGATATGTGATATAGTTGTCCGATATAGTTTTCCGATCTCGACGATTCCGAAAAATGATCAATAGAATGTCAATATTTTAATAATTGCGTACCACAAAAACTGAAAAAGAAATTTTTATAATCCCTAAAAATTAAACTTCACCTAAAAAATCGCTGACTCGAAACGGGTTTTAGACCCATATTCTCGTAGGAAAAGTTGTTCAGAGTGATCCATAGAACATTTCCCGTATACGTGATTTTATAGAAAAAAATCGATCAGCTCTAACGTGGTAAGTCCACTCTATCATCAATTATCGTGTGATCCAAAACGTTGAAACATTGACATCAACTTCTAATGCTTATTCTTAAGCATAGTAATACATTTATTATTTATATTTTTTCTACATACAATTCTAAAAACTATTGGATTAAAAAAAATGTTGGAACATTTTATTTATTAACAAATATAAGATTCAAAATCTTCTAAACCATCAGGTGCTCTAAAGTTACTATTAAAATTTACAACATAAACAGAATTTATTAGTTTGAAATTTGGATCTACACATAGCCATTGCCTGTTTCTAGAATACAGAGATCATTCAATCAATCAAAATTTTTGTCATGGAATATAAACATAATTTCAACAGTTGTATAGAAAAGGGTAGCCAACAAGTTTATGCCGCCTGGCAGCATTCCTGAATGATCGCAGTTGTAGACTTGTTTGCAATTGAAACTTGTTAGCTCAACTGATTAGGGTATTCGAATACTATTTATGGAATAATTCTATAAACTGAAATCATAAATATCGTTTATGTATAAATATGTATATGATAAAATATCCCAAATTTATATATACTTATATAATATGCGTAGGTAGCATCACTAAAAGCCGCGAAATTACATACCAAATTTTATGTAGAGCTCTGTCCCTATTGCGGAAAAATAATGCTGTCCAGAAATCAAGGTGTATGCAACATTTTAAAAAATACATGTATTTATTGTATTCGCAAGTGATCTAATTTTTGCACAGCTGATTCATGGGATCTTTTGTTATTCCTTGGTGTTATTTGTTTTTTTTTTTTTGGTTTTTCAATTAGACCTTATTTAGTTCCTTCACATATTAAGCCGAATTATAATGTACTAAATTTCTTTAGATTTTATTTTTTTTGCTTTTCATATTTCCGCTACGTCACAGTTTGATGACCCGTTAATACATATGGTCATGTGTGTGTATTTGTTCATATGTATGAGTGTGCTTCGATTTTGTCCAGTGGTCAGCAGTGGGCAGCATTTTTCCTGGCTTCGGCCTCGTCGTTGATCTCGGTTTTCTACCTCGTCATCGCTTTTCGTAGCTTTGATAATTCCATAGCATTCGACAGAATTCAGTTCTACATAGTAGCGGGTTTTCCAATAGGGATGATATAATTTCTAAGTGTCGTTTTGGCCATTTTTGATGTGTCATGATCTGTACTTTTTTTTTTCATTGTATTGAGTAATGTTTACAATTTAATCAAGGAAAGATATATGTTACGCTGGAACAATGTTCACAAACTATTCAATTTTATTATCAAAACAACGTTCTTTTATTGCAACTTTCGTGCGCTTTCACCTTCTCCGATGTGACTCACTTTCATTTGAGTGGTGCGGTAAATAAACAAAACTGTCGATTCTGGTGCGAAGAAAATACACAAATTATTCATGAACAACCGTAACATTAATTTGTTGTCAACGGTCCGTATTTCTTTCGATATGAAGCTGGTGACACCGTTACTGTCCGTTAGAGCAGTATAGACCAATGATAACCAACTTTTTATGACCGCAATTGAAAGAAGTTGATCCTGACAACGTCTTTTGCTAGAAAAGTTTGAAGATGCGATTATTTCAAGAAATTTTGACATTGCATGGCCTCCAAGAAGTTTTGATTTAACACCACTAAACTACTTGTGCGGTTATTTGTAGTCACAATAAACCAGACGCTCTACAAGCTTTAGAAGTCAATATTGAAGCTATTCATGACATACGACTTGATTTAGTGGAAAAAGTACTCGAAAATTGGGTTCATCGAATTCGTTGCTGCAAAAGAAGTCCTGGAGGCTATGTTATATTCAGAACTTAATTGTATCGATCGTACTTCATACTAAATAAAAAACATTGAATTTGAACTATTGGTGTTTTTTTTTAAATCCTTACATTCTTGTTGGAGAACCCTTTATATATGTGCATTCTCATATGTAGCTTTGTAAGTATGTACATACAGATGTATATGTATATTCACATGTGTAGCTCGTCTTCCAGCGTCATCAGCTTTGTTACTTCGCCTTGCAGACTTGATTTGGTTTGTTCATTCGAGAATTTATTGTTGTTGCTGTATGTCGTAATATTTGATGGCGTTGCCATTGCCATTGCTGTAAAAGTATAATTGTTTCTAACCTTGCTTTGTCTGTTTGGTTCGCTATGGATTTAAATTTATTTTGACTCCGTTTTGTGTTAACGCGTTATCTGCATTGTCTTCTGCTTTCTGTAAGCGTCCACAGTCGGTCGACAATTGTTTTTTGCTTTTGCGAAGTAGATACACACCTGTTTATTTAGCACGTAAATATGACAATTGCAATGGTTCGTTTAATAGGTTGATCGAAGTTACACCTAAAAAATGTACCTTCTCTAACAATCGGGGAATTAGCATAGAGTATGAAGCTCGCTGCGTTTATAAGTATCTCAAATGCGCGGATATTTTACGTAAATTTACATAGGCCTTTACTAGAAAACTTTCACACAAATTTTGCACTAATTCATGTGACATTGATCGAAATGTTAGCTTTCGTCATCGAACAACTGAAAAGCTCTGTTCGCCTCTGTGCCGGTGGTATGTTATGTGGCCATAATTGAGTATCATTAATGTCATTGAACTCTTATAACGTTCGTTGTTCCAGTGTAGCGAAACTGGTTCTGGCAAATAAACATTATGTGCGAATCGTGTCTGCACACCGTTAATTTTTCGCAATTGAATATAAATCGTAAGATTTTAGAACAAAAAACGTTTCGCACACGGACTTGTTGCATTGTTACATTATTTTTATTTGTACATACTTACGATTTACATCTACTATATACATACATACATACATATGTGAGTATGTATTTCCGTGGTGTGTGTTTCACATGCTTAAAATTTAATTTGTCTTTTATTATTTTATGACAAATATTTAAAAAAAGTCAAACAACAAAATGAAAAGCGCAGTAAGAACCACAAAAAAACTAGAAATCAAACACTCAAGCGTAAAGGCAATGCCCGAAACGAGTTAAAAAGATTATGCCACTAATGTTATTTTTATCGCGTGGAAAAGGACTACGCTGCTGTTATACACTTCTGTTCGCCTGTGGTTCTTTTGTGATTGTTTGTGTACTTGCTTTGCCGATTTTAATGATCGCCAAGTACGTACTCCTATCAACACGCATCGGTCCAAGCTATCGGTTGGAGATTTGTTACCTCTATCGATTGTGTACATACCTATTTTCTTCTCACGTTGCGCTCCTTGAGTGCAATACAACGCTTGTGTCCGTGCAACAAAATAGCTGAAAGTATATCGTTAACGTGACTGCTACTCTGTCCAGCTATGCTGATAACAACACGGACGCCCGCGCATGCTATTTGAGGACTTTGTACCTCGCCATGCGAATACTAAAGCGATATTGCATTTCTTCGCTAGCTGTTGCAACTGGCTGCATTTATGTTGATATATGTATATAGGTATGTTTGTGTATGTGTTCCTGAGCGTGAATGACTTCTTCAATGGTTGCTGCTTTATTTCTGTCTCCTCCAACATTGCAAGTGTTTACTCCAAACAGGCGTTGACGTTGCTGACACACTGTCACACGACACACCACAGCTCATATGGGTCAGACACTGCCACTCGTTTGTCCTATTTAAGATTAAAAACCATATTCATACGTTATTTTTCACATTTACTTATTATGTATATAAATGTATGTATGTTTAGTTC